TTTGGCTGCCGTTGGTTTATACCTTGTAGGACAGGGGACTGGTGACTCGGATTACCTTCGCTGGGATCCAGGCAGAGCCACTGGAGAAGTTCTGGGCATAGATGGGGTCAACCAGAAAGAACCCGAAGGTGCCGCTTGATTCTCGGGGGCTGCATGATGTTCCGCAGCATGGTTGGGGTGCATCCAGTCCAGTCGTGTGATGAGGCATCATCCCATGAGGAGTTCCACTGGGCTGCGGCTGGTGGAGGTGCTTGGAGTCACCCGCAGGCCAAAAAGGAAGGCCGCAAGCCAGTCGTCCCAATCTCCAATCTATCTCAGGGCATCCTTGGTGGTCTTCACCATCTGCCTGGCCATTGGTGGTTGGGTGGGAGGGCACAGACCTTATGTGTCTGATCAAGTAACGGCCCATGAAGTCGTGGAACTCGCTTGAGGTGAAGGCCATCCCCTTGTCCAACACCACGGTGTCGGGAATGCTGTGGGTGCAGAAGATCCTCTGGAGAATGTGGAGGACTGCTTGGGACAAGGTGGAAGGGACCGGTACCACCTCTAGCCATTTGGTGTAGGAGCTATCCAGAATGAAGAAGATCTGCCCTTGGAAAGGGCCTGCAAAGTCTATATGTAACCAGAACCATGGTCGTTGGGTGGACTCCCACTGTCATGTCAGCTCTGGACAGGATTCTTGGCAGGCCTGGCAGTACTTAACACAGTCTTCAATTTCACTGTCCATGCCGGGCCACCAGACATAGCTGCGGGCCAGCGCCTTCATCCGTATGATACCCGTATGTGTTCTGTGTAGCATCATTAAAACTTGTTGGCGCAATGGAGCTGGCACCACGACCCGGCTACCCCACAGCAGAGAACCTTTGTGTGCAGATAGTTCGTCCTGGTGAGTCATCCCCTCCCCACCCAGTCCAAAATGTGGGAGAGGACGCAGTCTTCGGTGGTGTGGCGGGACACGTCCGATATCTGGAGAGGGTGGTTGGGAAGGTCCTCCAAGAGCAGGGTCTGGTGGGCAGGAGCAGGGTCCAGGTCACAGGAGGGTAGCGGCAGGCAGCTGAGTGCATATGTCCCATCGCCTTCCCGGGGCGGTAATGGAGGGTGTACTGGTAACCTGCCAGGAAAATGGACCAGTGCAGAACCCTGGGAGACAGCATCTGTGGCGTCTGGCAGTCCAGGGCGAGCATGCCTAGCAGGGGTTTATGGTCCATCACGATGGTGAAGGGCTGCTCGTAGAGATAATCGTGGCATTTCTTTACTCCCGCCACGATTGCCAATGCCTCCTTGTCGATGTGCGCATAATTGTGTTCGGCCGAGGACAAGGTGTGGAAGTAATAGGCCATGGGAACCTCTCTGCCACCGAGTAGCTGATGTTCGAGGACTGCTCCAACCCCATACGGGGACACGTCACAGGCAAGGACGACGGGCAGCTTCATCAAAGTGTGCCAGGACTGCATTCGAGGTTAACAGCTCCTTGATGGCTCGGAACGCGGCGGCATGCTTCTGGCCCCAGACCTAGAGGACCTGTTTGTCAAGAAGCCGGTGCAGTGGCTCCATCATTGCAGCTTTGTGGGGCAGGAACGAATGATAGAAATTCAGCAGGCCCAGGAAGGCTTGGAGTTCCTGCTTGGATGTAGGGGTTGGGACATTGACGATGCCGTGGATCTTTTCATTGGCAGGATGGATGCCCCGTGTGTCTATGGAGAAACCCAGAAACATGACCCACAGGACCCCAAGAAGGTACTTTTCCCTTTTTACTTTAAGGCTGGCGTCGTGGAACCATTGCAGGATGGCGCGCAGATGGATGGCGAAGTCCTCGTCCATGGAAGTGGCAATCAGAACTTCGTCGAAAAATGGCTGGACCCCGGAAATTCCTTTAAGGAGAGAGTCCGTTAGGTTTTGGAAGATTCCCGGGGTGACAATGATCCCGAACTGCAGCCACCACACCCGGAACTTGCCCCTGTGCGTTACAATCGTCTGATCCTCTGCGGTCGCATCATCTACCGAGAGCTGTTGGTAAGCCTGTGCCAAGTCTAGTTTTCCAAAAACCTTAGCACCCGCTAGGGATGCCAGGATGTTGCTGACCACTGAAACCGGGTATGCATGGTCCTGGAGCGCTTTGTTTAAGGTACATTTATAGTCCGCACAGATGCAGACGTCTCCATTGGGCTTGACCGGGGTCATGATGGGGGTTTCCCATACAGCGTGCGGAACCCTCTCTAAAACCCCTTGGCCTTCAGACTAATCAGCCGCACCTCCGGGTTGAGTTGCATGGAGACTGGAAGCTCAGTGTAACGACTGAGCGTCCCAACAAAAACCCCAGGGAGCTCATTGCACACTGTCTGAAAGTCCTTAGAGCCCACGTGGTGCACCCCCGTTACTTCAAAGCCCAAGAGCGCGAATCAAGATAGTCCCAGTAAGCTTGTGAGCTGCCCTTCCACCACTCACAAGTCCAACAGTCCCTCAAAACAGCGGTATTTAACATGGAAATTGCCCCATCCTTTGATGGCCATCTCGTGCTTTTGGAAGTCCCTGAGGATGAAGCCGGTAGACTTAAGGCAGGGACCCCCCCTGTGGACAGAGCCTCTGGAGAGTCTCTTCTGATATGATAGAGATGGAGGACCTGGTGTCTAGTTCCATCTCGCATGGAGCCCCTTCTATAAGCACAGTCACTTTTCTTTTATGGGGGGTGTCCCAGGACAAGTTCAGTACGTTGTGTTGGCGGACAGCAGTGGTGTGTAGTTCCACGGACTCTTGGTGTGTCACTGTGCGTCTCCGGGTGTCTTTGGAGTGGCAGGCGCGTGTGATATGGCCGGTCTTGCCACAGGTCCAGGAGATTGCGTCGCAGAGATAACAGGAGCGACGTTCATGGTCATCCCCGTGGCTAGCCAGAGAGGTGGCGCAGTCGTCTTTGCTGGACGCACGGGGGCTGTGGATGGATGCGGGTCATGGCAAGTTGGGCAGCGGACCTGGTGTGTCTCCTCCTTGTTGGATGCATCCGAAGCCAATGGGAAGGAGGCTTGGTATGTGCTGGAGAGCTAGTGGTCCCTCTGGGCCTTTTCGAAGGCGGTGGCCTCGCATTGCGCTGTTACCAGGGTTAGCTCCTTGTGCCGATGAGCTTGCGGTGTAACTTCAGTTCTCAGATACCCATGACGAACCAGTCAAGCGGGGTCTCGTCAAGGTTCGAGAACCCACAGTGGAGGGCCAGCTGGCAAAGGTCGGCAATGAAGTTGGTGGCAGCTTAGTTGGGCTTCTGTTGGCACAAAAAAAAGTCCACGCGGTGAGCCATCTTGGTGGGCTGTGGCGTGAAATGGCTGGTGAGCGCCTTTAGGAGGTCCTCATACGTGGACGCTTCCAAGGTGTTAGGTGCAATGAGGCCCTGGACCAGCCGTAGGGTGGCGATTCCACAGGCACTGAGTAGGAGGGCCTTTTTCTTGCCGGCATCAGTGATGCCCTGGAAAAAGATGAAATATTTCAGCCGTTCCACTCAGGTTTCCCACAGTTCTGGGTGTGCGGAGTTGAACTCTGGCAGATGTCCTGATGTGACAGCCATGATCTCAGGAGTGTTGTGAGGCACGGGGCTCAGGGGCACGTTGCGCAGTGCGGTGCTGTCTTGAGCAGGCTTGCCCATCAGAATCCCATCCTTGTCGCCAGTGAAATATACTGGGTTCGACACACGATTGAGATCAGCTCATGCTTTATTGTGATTTCAGCTCAAACTAGAGACAACCCTAGCAGGACCGAAGCCCTGCTTAAATCCGTGACCAACACCACACCCCCCACACACATACAGTACCCGTGATAAGTTACTTACAGAGGTACTCCTGGTCGATACATTCCTCCCAGGATCCTAACAGTCTATAGTTCTGTGTACCCAAGCTGGGTCTGTCGATGCCGAGCCCAGTACATAACAGTAAGCAACTCTGAGGCTCCGAGTGAAGGGCGGGGTATAAATCCAATCTCTTCTTCTCATTCTTAAATGGAAGCAGCTCCTGGGATCACTGAAAATTATGGTGAAGCCATTTAAAACATTTTGATAATATAGGGTAATGAGGAAATAGCACTTAGTTTGGAACTGGATCCTACCTGCAGTTGGAAGTAAAGGGGATTTCTGTATGGATTATTGCTAATGTCATAAGGTATAACTGCTTACAAAGCTTGCAGTACACTATAGCAAACTGCAAGGCAGAGAGAACATTTTACCAGTGTATGGTATTGTTTCAACAGGTTTTGCTACTTTGTATACATGCACCAACCTATATCTCTCTCACTTACTTGCCTCTGCAGCCTACACCTTATGTACCAAACCAGATAATTAATACTGAGTACAGTTCCAACCTGCAACTTCTTTTCTATGTGACAGAAAAACTTCTTTAGCACTGCTTTCCAGAACATTCATTACCCACAGCTGGGGAAAAACATTTTAGAACTGTGCTTCAGATATTGCCTGTAGCATTTTAATAATGTTTAAATGCCATTTCATTACAACTTTTCCTGGTTGTTTCAAAAGGCATGCTTCCACATCAACCTATTCATTAACGAAATGTTAGTCTTATCAACTGCTCCATCTAGATATGTAATAATGAAGTCTTTGGAACAATAGGATATTGCTGTGTTTGATACGGATACAGCCCCTTGGTAAATTGTTTTGCTGGAGGCTACAACATTTGATGCTGGGAGTTGGTGGAGGCGTGAATAACTCACCACTTAGGAAGCTTCAGAGTTGAGCTGAGCCGCAGCATGTCGAGCTGCCCTTTGATGCAGACTGGTTGAGCAGGTTCCTGATCTACTGAGGAACCGGTTTGACAGGCCTGTTATGCCAACAAATTCTGGTATGATTCCATGTTCCAGAGAATGCAGAAACCTGCCCAGCCAGTTAAATGAAAGACATATTAGGTTATCCATTGCACATTGTATATATCTTAGGTGCAGCAGAACTCCTCTGAGCATTCTCTGGTGTGGTCCACAGAGGCTGCCTCATCCTATACATGCTTGTTGTTTATAGACTGGGGGGGTGGCAGGAATCCACAAGAACTAATCACTACTGCTGATCAAGGGAAGGCTAGCCTTTCACACTTTAGACATAAAGGTAAGATTCTGAAGTCTCCTTTAATATGATTTATTTTAAGACCTTATCCCAGAACTTGTACCTTATCATGCATGCAGCTGTCTCCTTCTGTATTTATTGACGCATTATCACCATTCTGCAGTATCCTACTGGTGACATCATTTGACAGTTTCTTTGATTAACTGTTCATCGAGTACATGCCTAGAAATACAGCCCAGTGAATGACTTGCTCTGTGAAGTTTGGAGAATCACTTAATTCAGCTTGTATGTATAATAGTTGCTAAAGGCACTGGCAATATGACAAAGGAAAAAAGCTGTGCATAAGGAAAACAATGTTTTTGCATTGTAACTCAAGCTCATAAGCAATGCTGTAACATGCATATTATTTAAGACAGTAAATTTCATTCACAAGTTTTGATACAGTATATCCATTACTAACATATAAGATGTTAAAAGCTCAATCCATTATTTGCATTGTAATAAATAAAGTGGTTATACTAACGCAGCATTCAAACGTTTAAAGGACTCAGCAAAACTGTAAGCCCATTTTAACGTGTTAAAAGTTAGTCCTTGGGTTATGGATCTCAGTACATTTGCAAGGAGAGTGTCAACGAAGAATTAGAAAACAAAGACTGTGGAATCTGGTAACTGATTAACTACTGAAGCTAAGCAGTGTACTAGCTGAGCTGAATAGAAAGGAATGAAGACAGGTTTTGTCATGCCAGGACAAAATAACTTTTGTTTAAAGTGAATATGACTCTTCCTATCTTTTCTTTAACTAGATTTAAATATAGATAGTATAGTAGTTTCTATTCCTTATGAAGCTAACTTTAGCAGAATTTTAGACAACATATGTAGAATTTTTTTTCTAATTATAATTAAGTGAAATACTGGAAACCTAGTGAGCTGTTTTTGAAACTGTTTCAAGAGCTGAGTATGTTAAGTGAGATCTTCATCTAATCTGAAAAACAGATTGTCTTAGTATGAATATCCAAGCTGGATTAAAAAAAAAATGAAGCAGATAACTATTTTTAATGTATAATGAGTCTTAATACAAAAGGAATAATTCAGTTTTACTTTCTAAAGTGTAATGCATATTATATTGAAAGTAAATCCCATTTGAATACAATGATTTATTCCCATCAAGTAAGAGACTGCAGTCCTGCTATCTAATCCATTTTAAATTAATTAGAATTAAATCCCATTAAAAATGACTGGATTTAGATTAGCTACAACTAACTTGATCCAGTAGTTTCAACAGGATTTAGGCTTGACCACTATTGGATGTATGGATCCTAAGATTTTTCTTCTGTAGTTTACTGTTGAAAAATTGGAAAAAGCTGCAGACTTTTGGCAGATGGTTCACAAAATTGCCACATATATGTGTGCCAAAAAGTTGTGATATTCAGTCCCATACACAGAAGTTTTCTATTGCTTACAAGAAACAAGCAGTAAGAGGAAAAAATTCAAGCTAAGATGACCCTGTTCTTGAATTGGTCCACAGTGCTGCCTAGATGGAAATCATTCAGCATGCCATGTTATGATTCACTGTGCTCAAAGTACTATATGTTTTATGTGACTCTGAATGCTGTTAATGTGGACAGAACAAACAGAAGCTTTCTCCGTTATCTGCAGTCCAGTCTCCCTACATATTCAATGACGACAAAGTAATGGATTTTTGATGTAACATTTAAATAATTAGCATTAATTAATAAATGACCTGAAAGGACCAGCTTTCAATGAAATAGTGAAACAGTCCTTTTAGGAGGCAAATTTGGGATATTATTAAAGGGTAGTGACTTTTCATTAATCTACTTTATTATTTATTATTAAAATAGGAACAGTGATTTACCAAGGCAAGTACTCCAAACCAGAGACTGTTCCAGTTGGAATTTCTGCAATCTTCCTTTGTAATGCATAGACAGAGTCGATGCTGCCTAAATCAGTACCAATACAACCCTAAACAGAGTTACACCCTCCTAAGCGCACTGAAGTCAAGGGGCTTAGACTGATTTAGCTCTGCTTGGGATTGTACTGTTTTGGAGGCTGGCTTAAGGAACAGCCCAATGCAAGTAGTTACAAAGAACTCTGGTAGTTACAAAGAACATTTCCTCCTAATATTGTGGAACAGAGCTATGGCTACCACTGGCTGGTGCTCTAATCTCACACACACTGTTCAACACCCCATGAGATTTATCTAGTCAAACTACCTATTGTGGTACAAGTGCCTGGCAAAGCTAACCTACAAAAAAAGTATAGTATATGCTCTGAAACTGAATAGGAATTGTTAGTTAGCCATCCTTTGGGATGAAGGCACTTGATGGTTTAGGACTGGAGAAAGAAACAAGCACAGATGCATTGTTCATAAGAATGAGGTTTAATTAAGAACTGGGGAATGCAGAATTCTAAACTGATCATATTTATCCTCTGGCAAAGAGCCACTGCTCTGTTCAGCATGTGCCCAAGCACGTGTCTCTTTCAAAGTGCGTGTCTCATGGTCGTGAAAGAAAGATAAGTCAATCTCTTCCAGAAACAGCAGTGCTTTATAATGGCCATCACTGTAACACAAAGTCATGTATGCAGCTCATAACTAACTGAAGTTTTTTGTGAGTCCATTGTGAAAGTGTTCAATCAACTTTACTGAATCATTAGTTCAAAGGCCTGGTTTGCTGAAGCCCTTGTAAACTATGGCAAGCCTTTTCAGTTATGCTATCTTGGTATTTAAAATAGCAATAAGACAACTTATAGTGCATCTTCCAATATCCTCAGTCTTACGCCAAGTGATCATTTGTGTGATGCAAAGATGGTTTGTATTGGACTTTATTATTGAGTTATATACACTGAGTGGCTTTGTTCAAAAATATTTAGAAATTAAATTTTATTCAGTGTTCTGGAAATTATGTTCAAGGGATTTCTTACACAGTAGTATGTTTGATGTAGCTATTTAGAAATTTAAGTAATTTTATTCAGTGTTCTGGAAATCATGTTCATGGGACTGCTGAATTTCTTACACAGTAGTATGTTTGATGTAGTAATTAGATTGTTTGATGTAGTAATTAGTACCAAAATAAATATCTTCAAACTCCACAACTACTTCAGTTTTTGTATTGTGAGCATGACAAGAAAAAATGTGAGAAGCAGTATCTAAATTCTATGTATTATTTAATATCTAAATTCTATGTATTACTATCTAGACAATTGAAGTCCCTGTTCATTATGCATTGCTTCCATACACTACATACTGCATTAAAATCTGGCCATGAGTTCATAGTTTGAGACAGACTTAAAATGCAATAATGCAATAACCTTTCCCACAGGTTTATTGTCTAGGTGTGGATATTTACTGCTTCTGGAAAAGTGACATATGCTGCAGTAAGCTTGACTGTCACCGTTGAACGCAGTAAGAACGGTCTTTTCAATAGTTTTCATCATCTCCAGTTAGGTAATAGCATGTTATGGCCAAACTAACATGTTAATTTTTTTTCAGAGAAGATAAGTGATTCCTTAGCACAATGATTCTTAGTGATGGCACTCTACAAATTGGGAAGATTCAGAACTGGGTTGCCAGGTCCAACGCAGGAAATACCTGAACATTTTGGGGATGGTGCTTAGTAAGGATGTGATGTAACATTGTGACTCCATGTGCTGTGATATCACTTCCAGGGCAAAGGTCAAGTGATGTATAGCATGATGTCATTTCTGGGTCATACACTCCAAATTGCCACTTCTTGTGATGTCACTTCCACACTACACCTCAAAACCCCTTCTTTGAGGTCACTTCCTGCTTCCAAAATTTAAACCCCATGCCTTACAGTATTTACAGTGCCAGATGAATCCATTGTGAAAATGTTCACAAGCTTTCAGAACCATAGTTTGCCCAAAAACTAGAGCGTCACCCGCAACGTCCCCGATGCGATGACGTCACTTCCTGTAGGGAACTGGGGGCTGGCAACCCTACATTACTTCCTGCTCCCTCCCTTTTTTCTCACCTTGCATTATTTATAGGCTTCTTATCCAGCCTAAGATCCCTTACTCTCGTCAAAGGATGTGTACCTGATTTACACAGTCCATTAGTCTGTGCTGAGTGGGTGGTTATTGCTCTGGAGAACATAGGACAGAGCCCCAGTTCTGCTCAGCTTGGAGCATTTTAGGACTATGTCTCATGGACCCACCCAGTTGCCAAGCTTTCAGGGTGCCTCACTTCTGGGCACAAGCACTGCATGCACAGAAACTGAAGCCAAGGCTGGGATGTACTAAAAGGAATTGCCCATTGGAAACAATGGGGGAGGCTTGAAGGCCCATTGGAAATAATGGGAGACAGGAACGCCAATTGACTTGTATGGGCTCCAGTGAAATACATTATAGCTCAAGAAGAGTTGCAAAGGAAATGCGTAATGGATTTTCCATTAAGGTCTCTGGTCTCACACTACTCTGGTACTGGAATGACAGGCCCCAGAGTGGAATGACAGCTCCTGGGGATAGTAGCAGTGTTCTGACTGGAATGACAGGCTTCAGAGGAGAATGACAGCCCCTGCGGGTAGCAGATGTGTCGTTTCTACTACTCTCAGGGACCATCATTCCACTCTGGGGGCTGTCAGTCCAATCCCAGAGTAGTCCATCTGGGGCCCCGGAGACCTTAATGGAAAAATCCATTCTGCATTTTCTTTGCAACTTTTTTTGTCCTGCAATGTATTTCAATGGAGACCATGCAAGTCAATTGCCATTCCTGGCTCCCATTATCTCCACTGGGCCTTCAAGCTTCTCCCATTGTTTCCAATGAGCAATCCTGTCATTCCTTTTAGTACATCCCACCAAGGCTCACTGTATCTGGGGGTCTATGTGTGGATGCATTTGGACCGCAAGGAGATCAAATCAGTCAATTCTAAAGGAAATCAACCCTGACTGATCCCTGGAAGGCCAGATACTGAAGCTCAAATACTTTGGCCACCAAATGAGAAGGGAGCACTCACTGGAGAAGACCCTGATGCTGGGAAAGATTGAAGGTAAAAGAAGAAGGGGATGGCAAAGGATGAGATGGTTAGACAGTGTTATTGATGCAATGGACATGGAGTTGAGCAAGCTCAGGGGGACAGCAAAGGACAGGAGGGCCTGGTCTGATGTGGTCTATGGGGTCACGAAGAGTCAAACGCAACTATGCGACTGAACAACAACAAATGTGTGGATGGAAACCCAACTCCCCTCAACATCTGTGCATATACGATCCATGCAGTGAGAGCTGGCCATGAGAGATTCCCTGGTTGCACACAGGTTTGCACAGGTTCCCTGGAGGCGCACAGGTTTGAAAGCTCCCTCATGTCAAAGAACGCCCAACAAACAGAAAATGCAGAGAACAGGCCAGGCAAGAACTATTCTCCCTACACCCTCAGCGGGATGGAGACCACACAGCGCCTCCTCAATACAGGCTCTAGCAGCAAGAAAGGAGGCTGAAGAGGAAGGAAGAAGAGCACAGACTCATATTTCCCGGTTTAAAAACACACCCACACATACACACAAAAGCCCTATTCCCCCAGAGGCGGCGGAGTCTAAGCCACCAAAGCCTCCGGCCACCAGGGGCTGCTCGGCGCCAAGCAACGCCGTTGTTTCTCCGGTTCCAGGCAGTTTGGGAAAGCATGCTTGTCGGGAGGGAGAAAATAAAATACACTCTTCTCTCACTTTCTCTTTGCCGCCGAATAAAGGGAGCTGACAGAAACGAATCTTCCGTCAGGTAGTAACGTGTCCGACTTGCATGTACCTCCCCTCGCGTGCCGTCTCTCCGCGTTCCCTGTCTCTCGCGTCCCCTTTCTCTCGCGTCTCTCTGGCAGGGAGACCGAGTCGTCTTCCTTCGCCCTCTTTAGCCGGGGAAGGTGGGGGGGTGTCTCCGTAAGTGGGTTTTTCGGCTTCTCGCAGTGGTTGCTCGTCCTTCTATGGTGAAGCGAGCCCGGCCAGCCGTATGGGAAAGGTTGGGGGACTGGTCGTTCCTTTTCACGAAAGGCAAAAGAAGCGGGGAACCCGCGCCCATTGTGTCTGAGGCGCAGGATGCTGAACTTCCTCCGTCTTGCGCTGTTTTGAAAAAGCCGCCCTTTTCCAGCTCTCTGGGGGAGGTGTGTTCACGTCGTGCCTCATCGAGGCGCTCTGCCTTTTCTCTCGCCGGCCCCCACGTCTTCGTCAGCTGCGTTACAGGCAACGCTCAACAGCTTCCTTGCAGGGCATTTTGAGTGCCTAGAAAGGCCCTGTTGAATTTCTGCTTCCCGAGTTGTTGTTACAGATGCAAGAATCCCGCTAGATAAAAAGAGCCAATTACAAATAACTATAATCAGGCTAACCACCCTTAAAAGGAGAAGGGTTTTTTTTTAATGAGTTGAGGAGCTGGTTCTATTTTTCTTGGGAAAGATTATGAAATCTCTCACCTGGGAAGAAATCTGCTGAAGGTGCAAAGTCCAAGCATTCACATCAATGCCCAGAGTACTGGCGACATGTTAGTATACTCAAAGGCTGTGAATGTTTTAGATGTGAATAGCATGTCACTGAGTCATTGAGTATACCACCAGTTTGTGAAGATTGCCCACCATCAAAGTGTGGACTGATTTCTGCCTTGGCCACTGAACAATCCACTATATAAAGTAATCATACTGTATAAGGAAATTATAAAATGTAATTATGTATCATGAACTAGCAACAGTGTTTCAGATGTCTTATTTCCGTGTATCTAATCCCATAATCCCATACACTGGTACTGGGGGGGGGGGAGTAAATTTGTGCAAGGCTACTCAGCTCAGGCTCATTTGTTTTGAAACAAAAAACAGCTAGTAGTGAAAAGGTTAAGCACCTCTGCTCTTGATTGCACCCTATAGTTATCAAATAGACAAAAACCATGTAGGAAGAGAATAATTGCACAGAACTTTGTATAAAATGTACATTTGACCTTTAAATCCTCACAATATCATGGGAAGAACTATATATTTCATCCGCTGCTATAAGTCATACTTCAATAAACTGTAAACCTTGTGAACCTGTCATTGCAGGAATCCAGTTGTCTAGGAAACAGCCTTGTAACTATGTGATATAAATTGAAAAAGAGGTCAAACAGTAAGCAGCACAGACAAGTGCAAGACAAGATGAATACTTCCGGGGGTAGCTGTGGAAGTCCCAGCTCCGTAGATCCTGCTGCAGACTGCTTCAAGGAACTGTGGTCCAAACTGAAAGAATGTCATGATAAAGACATGAAAGGTAATACTAGAATTGTTGGTCTGTACATATGTCAGTTGACAGAACCATGCCAATAACCATGCATTATTCTTGAATCAGCATTTTTAGAGGCTATATACATTTCTGTGCTATAATCCTATAATGGAAGCAGGAGCACTTGCCCCTTTCTAGTGCTACGGGATTCTTTGAGAGACAGTGAGCTGGATTGTACACATATGTGGCTGCACCATAGATCTCTGCAAGGGCATTATGCTACTGGCTGGCTGTTTTCAGACTCTTTCCTAATAATTAGTACAGGTTTTGCCTTTTTAACCACTGCTATACACTGAATCAGCATTTTAAGAATCCTGTTCATTAGATGGGGCCCCAGAATATTAATGCAATGTACTAGGCTGGCATTTGTTTACCAAGCAAACATATCAAAGTTGGGTCTGTATCAGCTGATTTTTCTGTGTGTGTGCCTTGTGTGTTCAGCCAGTCTGCGAGAACAAAGCAAGGTGGTGGTCAGGTGATGGACAGCCATGAATAATTTATTACTCCAGGTGACATAATTGTTTCAGTTGTTAGTCACTTAAAGTAATTTTTTTATGTTCTTCAGGCATGTTAAAGTGTTCCGCAAATTGTCAGTTAGAGCTCTTTAGATAAACAAGAAAGGCAGTTTGGTGTAGTGGTTAAGAGCAGCAGACTCTAATCTGGAGAACCGGGTTTGATTCCCCTCTCCACCACATGCAGCTGCTGAGTGACCTTGGGTCAGTCAAAGTTCTCTGAGAGCTATTCACTCAAGAGCAGTTCTCTCAGAGCTCTCTCAGCCCCACCTACTTCACACGGTGTCTGTTGTGGGGAGAGGAAGAGAAGGAGATTGTAAACTGCTCTGAGACTCTTGAGTGAAGGGCACGGTATAAATCCAATCTCTTCTTCTTAACCATATCATTTTTTTTCTTGGAATTTTTTTCCATACACTTATCAAGCAGATTTGGAAGCAGAGTTTAATATGTGTAGTAGGAATGAAATAGTTCCCTAACTCTTATTTATTTGTTTACATCCTCTATACCCTGTGTTTCTCCACAATGGGAACCAAAGTGGCTTACATCATTCTCCTCTCTTCCGTTGTATACTCACAACTACCCTGTGAGGTAGGTTAAGCTGAGAGGGTGTGATTGGTCCAAGGTCCCACAGCAAGCTTCCATAGCAGAGAGTGTGGATTCAAACCAGCCTCCCAGATCCTAGTCTGTCATTCTTAAACACTATGCCATGGCAGCTCTTGTAAGGTTAAACAACACCAGGTTTCCTGGGGTTCCAAGGTTAAGCAGAGGATGTGCATAAGAAGTGTAAATGAGCTTTCTTAATGCTCCTTTCTTGCTGTTGTTCACATGTGAAATGTAGGAATGAGAGTGGCAATAAAACTCCTTTAATACAATCCCCAGGGGAGGATTTCTCAGGCACTTGTTTGAGAAAGACAATACTGAAGCAACAGCTAGGAGTGTTGATATAGTTGCATTACTGTACACAGAGAGAACTTCTGTTGCCTTGCCCACATCTAAGGAATACCAGCTGTACTCAGACACAATGATAGGATGCAATGGGCAGGAAAAGGACCAGAAACCAATTTCCTCAGGTTTACTTTTATAGGCAGACTTATTTGGAAGCTATAAAAGGTGCCTCAAGGAACAAGCACAGCCAGATACTGGGAGCGTCTGTTACCTTTATATTTACTGCAGAAACTGCTGTGTAACCTGGCAGGGGCAAGGCATGGCAACAAACAAAGCAGCCCGAAGTAACTCATACTACAAAAAAACAGGAACCTACAATTTTCAGGACTGAGATCTTTTCCCACCCTGTTATTTTATTTCACTGTCACAATCCTGATAAAGTTCCTAGGAATAATCAATGTAATACATTCTGAAAATACCGCTTTATGCCCTTCTAATTAGATGCAGAAACTTCTGAAGCAAATCAGAGGAAACACCAGTGCGCTAAATATAAGTGTTTACTCTGGTCTGCTTTAGAATATAATTTTTATTCTTCTTGGCTTGGTTCATTCATCAGCTGAGTTTTTATAGTGAGTAGGGTGTCATCAGCAAGGTATGTGCTCAGGCACCTTCACAATAGAGTTTTGGAGTCTAAGAAGTGTCTGTCTCTTATGGAGTTAAACTAAAAAACTAAATTTTTGAAGAAAAAGCTTTGAAAGTGTCTTATTTATTTATTTGATTTGTACCCCACCCTCCCTGCCGAGGCAGGCTCAGGGCGGCTTACGTAAAAATTGCAATAGATAAAACAACAATATAAATATCTGCATAAAACACAACATGGTTACTAAAAACCATTTGTATGGCGTTGGCAATTACAATAGTAGCAGCATATGTAATTGACATACAGTCAGCAGTTGTCTTTGGATTGTTCTGCACAAAATTCTGAAATTCTCTGGAACTCTGAAAAATAAAGACTTGTAGGGAGCTTTCAAGATGTACTAGAGCTGCAGTTGTAAACATATGTATATTTTGAAGTAAATCCCAGTGGAGTCTATGGAATTTATTTCTAAGTAAACATGGTTTGGATTGGCCACAGGTATGTTGATACAGAGTTGCAACAGGCAGATTATTTCATGCCTAAACTTTTGTTACTGTGACCCACACAATGCATGATAAAATTAGATCCTGTATGATTACATCAAAGGCATGCCTCAAGGATAGCTAATTTTTCCTAAAGGTGGAGATCCTTTACTAGAATCTCGTATGATATTTAAGACACATCAAACGGAGACCTGCCTGGACTTTGCTTGTTTCTGAAGTCTATAAATAAGAATTAAACTGACTCATGAATGTTTAATTTTAGGCGTCAGCAAAATATATCTTACATAAGGCAGTAGTGAAGAAAATAAGGTGTCCAAAAATTACTTTTGGTTACACTGTGTATTCTTTTTCTGTGTCTATAACCCATCATCCAAATGTTACCAGGGAAAAAGATTATTATATTTTAGTAACTTTTTTCCCTAAAGGTTTTACAGGATATGGTTAGGGAAATATGTATAAAAAGTAGAGAACACTCTGGAGTTTGGTGCTGCCTGTCCTGAATTCTAATTGAAGTATAATTTTTCACCTTCATACCAGCACAGTTTTTTGCGCCCCTACCTGCCTTGGAAGGCAGCTTACATTATAACAAATACATCGAGTGGGGATGAACAAACAAGTATGATAATTAAAATAACAGCATAGTGCATTAAAAACATTCCTACTAGCTATGCTTAGGTAGGGCTACACAAAGTTGTTTAATTTTTTTTCTTGACTTTATTGTTTAACCCTGTTGAAAACGGTTTGTACAGTGAATTTGCACAATGCATCAATGGAATTCTTGTCCTTATCCCATGTTTTTAATGGCTATGTCCTCCAGAAAACTGTTACCCTAAATTAGTCCTAATGGAGTGATAAAGACAAGTATGCCATCATTTGATGATGCTTTATAAGTCATTCAGTTGTATTGAAGGAGAACAATGGAAGAAAGATAAAAGATTCTGTTCCTTTGAAAAGGAATTTTTTTGTAACATTAGCAAATTTGCATTCTTGGATTATATATAAGAAACTGGAAACCACCATTTTCATTTAATTCATGACTGTTGCTCTAGAAAGATTTTTGAGGCATTTTGATAAGTTTATTCTTCGTGAATTTAGGAATTGTTACTTATAGCAGCCTTTTAAGCACTCTCTCTATTAGTGGCTCAGTTTGCTAACGTTACAGAACCAAATACTTTGCCAAACAGATGACTTCTTTTTACAGGAGCTTCTTTGTTGTGTAGCCTCATTCCTTCTCATGGGTGCGGAGTAGGATTAAAGTGGAGCACTTTGTAGGGGTCTTAATTGCAGGCGTCTAATTGACTTGTCGAATAGCAAACATTTTTAAAGAAAATTTATTTCTCAGCTGATCTGCTTTACTGAGCGTAATGCCTTTTTGTTGTTGAGTGCTAGTGAGGGAAGAATCATCTAATGTCCCAAAAGCTTTCTTTTGAAGTCGTTTTCTTGTGTTTTCTATTTATCTTTCAAAGGCCCCTAACTTTCATCTTTGATATGACTGTTGCTTTATAAATCAGCTTGTTAATTAAAATGCATTTATTTAAAGAAAGCCAAGGGTCACCACCAGATACTCGTGGATGACAGTATTTCAGTCTGTCTTCTGGTATTCAGGACTGAACTTGCCTCGGTCATCCTGGCTGAATACCTTACCAGGATATGATTGGGCGACTTTGACACTGTTACAGTTGTCCGGCTTTCAGAGCTGAAGACCATGGCATCATGTACCAGAAATATTTCTGATCTTCCCATGTGAATTGTTCTGCAGGGATCTGTCTTATCTCCCAACTACTTGAAACCTTGGTGTCTAGTGGTTTGGAATGCCATCAGTATGGTGATGGACCCACTTTGTTTCTGCTTTCATCTGAACCAAGTGTAGTCATCACAGCCTACAATGATTGCTTGGAGTTAGGCAGTATGACGATGAAGAAAAGGTTGTTCATCTTCTAGCCTGGAAAAATATCCTGGATGGGGCAGCCAAATAAATATGTTCACATTTAGAGACAGGTATACTGCTGTAGGGCAGCAGTGGCTCAGAGGTTAAGACACTGAGTTGCAGACCGGAAGGTCAGTAGGTAGCTCAGCAGTTTGAGACCCTAGTGCCGCGTGACGGAGTGAGCTCCCGTCTCTGGCCCCAGCGCTTGCCAACCTAGCAGTCCAAAACCAAGAAATTGCAAGTAGATAAATAGGTACCACTTTGGTGGGAAGGTAACAGCATTCCGTGTGCCTCGGCATTTAGTCATGCCGGCCACATGACCACGGAGAAGTCTTCAGACAGCGCTGGCTCTTCAGCTTGGAAACAGAGATGAGCACCGCAACCCTAGAGTCGGACTCGACTGGCTTTCGAGCAAGGGAACCTTTACCTTTACCTAACCCATAACATACTCCTGGCTTCCTGGGGCCATGGATTCTTGTATAGCTTGTCCCCTCTCCCCTCCCCCCAGTAGCCATGTTCCTGAATATGATAATTTTTATTTTATTTATTTTATTATATTTCTATCCTGCCCTCCCCGTGAATGGGCTCAGGGCGGCTCACAATTAAGGGCACCATATGCCAGATATATAAAGCATATAAAACATATAAAACAAGATAAAAACAACCATATGTTACAATTAAAGTGCTCAGTGATGTTAATCCTTCAGATGAATTTAGATGTGCTGTAGATGTAACACAAAGTCCCAGTTCAGCGGTGACCAATCTTCATACAGGGCCAACCCACTACCCCGTTGTTACTAACAATAATAGCTGTTAGTGGTGGTAGTGGCGGCTCCTAATTAAAAGCCTGGCGGAAGAGTTCCGTCTTTCAGGCCCTGCAGAACTGTAAAAGGTCCCGCAGGGCCCTGATCTCCTCCAGGAGCTTGTTCCACCAGGTAGGAGCCACCACTGAAAAGGCCCTGGCCCTGGTTGCAGCAAGCCTGGCCTCCCTGGGGCCTGGAATCGCTAACCGATGTTGTGACCCCAACCGTAGCGCTCTCTGGGGTTTGTTTTGGGAAAGGCGGTCCCTCAGGTATGCCGGACCCTGGCCATATAGGGCTTTAAAGGTAAATACCAGCACCTTGAAGTGGATTCGGTATGCTATTGGCAGCCAGTGCAGTGCTTTCAGCTGAGGAAACCTTTGTGAAACCCCCTTCATAGGTAGAAATGACCTCTAAGTAGAAGAGATCTTTTCCTGGTGATAGCTTCTCATCTGTAGAGCTCTTTTTGTTCAAAATGCACCATCACATCTGTCTGCCTTCTTTTTACTAAGCTTTTGATTTATTATTGAAATTGGGGAGTGGTTTTTACAGGTTTTTTTTGTTTTTTTTGCAATCTCAGTATTTAACATTTACAGTTTATTATTGCAATTTTATGAATTATTTCATTTTTGTTGCTTGCTTTGAGAATGTAAAGAACTAAAAGTGAGCACCAGCTCTTAAATGAAGAAAGGTATACTTCAGCACTAGAGATATATAATGGCAAAGACTTATAGGAAGTCTAAATTTTCACATATCCATCCAAAAAATGCTTCATAATCTTTAATTTGTCAAGGAAATTTTTTTTAAAAGACACTTTGTTTTCTGGCTTTTCTCCATGTAGGATTACAGTTAAAGATTTCCAAACTGAAAAAGGAAAGGTGTTTGTAAGTATCTACTCATATGCAACAATATTTTCATTAGAAATAAAGTATTTACATATATTAATACCTAAATATTTATGTGACTGTGTATCTGTGTGTGTGTGAGAATAGTCACTCATGTGAGCATACTACTATATACGATAAATAATAGCAGTCCTAAACAGGTGTTGACTATATTTTCCCCACCACTGAGAAACTACAGAGCATTCTCACCAGTCAGGGAAAAGTAAGGACTTCCAGATTGGTGGTGGTGCTGGGAAGTGCAGTCAAGTCACAGCCAATTTATGGCGACCCCGTAGCATTTCCAAGGCAAGAGAAGTTCAGAGGTGATTTGCCATTGCCTGCCTTTGTGTAATGACCCTGGAATTCCTTGGTGGTCTCCTATCCAGGAACAAATCAGGGCTGATTCTGCTTAGCTTCTGAGATCTGATGAGATCAAGCTAGACTGGACTATCCAGGTCAGGGTGCACCGGATTACATGGTGCTTTTCCAAACAGAGGACTACCATCGTTTTCTAAAAATTAAGCACTGTGCTGTGGGTAATAACAGGCATTTACAGCCTTTTAATAACATAAGGCTCTTATAATTTGAAGTGGTTTCTTGTTGTGCCTAATTTTTGGTTACATTAAAAGTGCATTGTTAAATATACTTGCTTGGGAATGAGTGCCATTAAATTCAGTGGAATTTACTTTTAAGTTAACGTGCATAGGTTTAGCCTGCTACTGTTTACTGGGGGGGGGGGAAATGTTCATTTCTGGGGAACAAAAAAAATTCTCATAACTTTCATTTAAACGTATAGGATTGTCTGGTACCTGTTATGATTTATTAGAAACAAGCACACATATATTACAAGTCCATGTTTACAAAGCTTCCATCCATAGTTAGCTCAGAGTCAGTGGGAGATAGGCATTACTGATGACATTCTGTTGTGACTTAATACATACCAAGCTAAATGGCTTAATTATTATTTGCTGGAATCATCCTACAAGTACTGTATTGTAGATACAATAGTCTTCTATAGGAGTTCTTGTTCTCCCTAACTCTTCTTGAATACCTGAGGTTTAATATTTCAGAGCTGATAACCAGCCAGACAATGAACTCCTTATGCTGCACCTTAGTTCAGTGCTGAAGCTAATGGTCTTGTAAATGCAGGGTCAGGGACCATTCATTAGGAAGACTTTTTTTCATAGCCAAAAATCCAGCCAGTTTTGTAAAGCAACGTCAGGACACTAACAGAGCTTTCTTCCATTCTCATTTCTTGTTCTGTACATAGAATATAAGCGCACTTTCAGCGTGTTCATAGCTTTGTTTACTACCTCTTCCTAGTGTTTAAGATTGCAACCATATGCACTATGATATTCCTGCATATTTACTCGGAAGTAAGTACCACTGAATTCAGTGGGATTTACTCCTAAAGAGGTATGATTAAGACTGCAGCCATAGCTCTTTTCTGCATTTTTTTCCTCATCAGTTCTGGCCCCATACTGCTTCAGCTTATCCCCTGGTTTCCATATGCATTTTTGTGCTTTTAGTTTTCACTTGGCATTTTGTTTTGTTTTGTTGCCTCCTGCCCTGTTTTTTCACAGCTCTTTTGAGACCACTTTTACCCTGATCTTTTTCTGGAAGCCAGTTTTGAGTCGGCTTTTTCCTACTGTGTAATGTTTTTATCAGTTTTCTTAGTCCCAACCACTTCCTGACAGTTTTGAATGACTGGGCTGTCATCATTGTTAAACCACTCCCTCCTGCACTCCTAAAGATGATTGATTTCAATTTTTTTAAAGGCCATAAAATATCGATATATTGGCTATAGTGTTGTAATGATAGTTTAAGCAGGTTCTCTGAATTCCCAGCTTCTCTGAATTCTGTAGACCCATCCCTCACAGAGGTATAAGGAAAAAGGCATATCTCTGTGAGGGAAGGAGCTACAGACTTACTTTTTAAATAAAAGATGGGAATTCACAGAACCTGCTTAAACTATCATTACAACAGTACAGTATTATATCGATATTTTAGGGCTCTTCTTTAGAAAATAAGGTGCTCTGACACCACCGACATGCCAATGACAACAGCACCCTCCCTTAAAAGTCCTTAATATTTAAGCCACATGCAGAAGATAAACTGACTCCACAACTGTAAAAATGCGCAGGGAGGGCAGACATGCAGAAGAACCCTGCCCAAACGGATTCCAGTGCTTGTGGATTGACTCCCAAGTAAATCAGAAGTAACTCAAGCATGAGGAGAAGGTCTTAGTTTAATGCCACTTTCTCTGTCACATAGATCTGGTACAAAGTTTTGAATGCGATGTGTTCTTTTTCTGTTGTGTGATTGGTCACAAACTATGCAGGACTGTAATTCCACTGGTGAAATTCAGCCCACCACTGTGATACATCAGGAGCTGGGCCCCACCATCTCTTCCAGTTCTGAGTAGACAGCAGTAACAGGAGACTTGTAAAGCATCTGCCGTGCTTTTATATATAGTGGATTCAGTTCAGTGGGTCACCAGTTGAGTGTTCCCCACTTTATACTAGGGTGACCACCTTTATTTCTGGCCTTGGTTGTGTGCCTCTAACAGAAACCCATGACACAGAAATTTGGGAGGTAACCTTCTCTAGCATAGTAGTAAACCTGTAAAATCCTGTTTGCCAGAAATTAAAGAGCGCAACCTTACTTAGTATTATGTAGCACATTACTTGTACAAAGCACTACCAGTACAACACTTTTGTAAGGTAACCAATATCATTATTCCGTTATTATATATAACTGATGAAAGGGAGAAATAATAGCTTGCCTGAGGCCAAGGAATAATGGAAGGGGCACATAGATAAGGAGTATAGAACTCCCATCCATAAATTCCATTTCTCTGCCCAAGTGCCTTTCTGTTTAGCAAGCTCTGATGCTTTTCACCTTAGTTGAGTAAAAAGTCAGTGAGGAGAGCATTTACAGTGATGTAAACAGTGAGTATTGGAAAAACTTTCACTCCCCACCTGTGACCTTGCTTATTAGAAATGGAGTTTCACACTCTCCATTCAATTTATGTGATTATAGTAGTTGTTTTTTTTAAAAATATACAGACCTTCTGTCACATCTACTTTGGCATTGACAATGTTTTTTTCCCCTTCTGTTTTGTTCTCCATGCTCTCCACAAGCCCTTCTCCTTTGGGGTTCCTTGTTTTCCCTCTCTTACTCTTGTCATTGTTCCTGTGTGGCTAGAAAAGCCTTCCCATTCAAATCCATGAAGCTAACAGTATTCTTATTGAACCCCCCCCGAAAACCCACTTCTAATGCAGAGTCTTGCTTGTCACACATAAGAATAGATTAGATGCCAAATGTTTATTAGTAAAAATAGTAGTCCGTTTCCTGTGACATAGGAACTTTAAAAATGTAGTTATTTTGTTAACTTTGAGTTAACATAATTTCAGAGTAATGAAAGTACAGCTGTCAAATGTACAATTTCTCTGTGTAAATAATTTCTTCTTATATTCAGGGATGCAGAGAGGCTTGAAGAGTTTTACACCAAAAACCAGCAGCTTAGAGAACAACAGAAATCTCTGTATGACACTATTACAGTTTTAGAAAATCGGTAAGTGGGAATAACCCCTCTTTGTTTTTAAGGTGTAGTCGCCATCTATCTGTCATTCTTTAAAACACTTATATGCCACCTCTTCAGAGACCTGTTCAAGGCAGCTCACAAATAAAACAAGATAAAAATCATAAAAAACATTAAAAACCTGCTAGAAGAATTTACACATGAAACTGGCAGCATATAATGTCTTCCTGGAAACACCACCCACTGTAATTCCTAATTTGCTTCCTGACAAAACAGTTCTGGGATAGTGTATGTATGTCTGCTATGTCTTGGCAAGTGTTGAGGTAGACAGTTGTGGATTTAATCCCACCAGAAAACATTTGAGTTGCCTTTTGTTCTCCCACAGGAAACTCAAGGAAGCAAATTTGGATTCATACCAATCTATTGTGTCTAGTCCCAGTTAAACCTCCAAATATCTGACCATCCCATCCTAAGCCTGTGTGACCTTCACTTTTTTGACATGTTCAGAGGCCACACCCCTCAGTGTAAGCTACAGCAGCAGGGAGACAGCCTCTCTCCCATTTGTAGACCTTCTAGGACATCAGTCTGACTCCTGTGTGTTGGATTAGATGGACCATTCGCCTAATCCAAAGCAGCTGCTATTACATCCCTCTTAGTTCAATATTTACTGCTTGTATGCAGTCTCAGTAGTAAGTAGACCATTCGATGCGAAAGGTGATTATCCACTCTCAGCCTAATTTGAGTTCCACAGCAAATGTTGTGGACCTTATTAGGTTCTGTCAAGTAAATCCACTCAACAATGTGAGGTACTGTAACCATGTACAGGAAAGTGAAGAAATGCGCAAACTATATATATACTGAAGAATTTTCTTGTTCTTTAATGTTAAAACCACAATTCTGATTGTCATGATCAGAACAGACTGGGGCATAAATATTATGTAAGAAGGATTGTTGTTATCAGAATTTTAGCACGCAAAATATCTTTTGCAATCTGTCTTGAAATGTCCATTGGTTTCTGAATCACACCTCAGGCGGTGCAACCCTGAGGGCTGCTGAAATAGCGAGCTGCCGGCACAGCAGCAGTGCCACTGATCCACTCCCTAAGAGGAAGCCACGGGAGACAGGGCAAACATCCTGGCAACAGAGCAGCAAGAGCCATGATGGTGCCAGTGCCCCAACAACAGTGCTGTTGTGACCACAGGGACATCATGGGTGTAACAGCACGGCCATGATGGACAGAGAGGAACCAACCAACCACATGACCTTGAGGACACATGACTGGTGTGGCTGTGAGGGGCAGGGCTCACTATGCCATGCCCCTGGCACACACCACACCCATCTAAAGGCAGAGGCCTCTGCCACACACAGTGGAGGCGGTGGCAGCCAGCCTAGGGTGTGCTACAGCTGCAAGGTCAGATACCCACTAGACAGGACATGGTGGCCTCAGTATCAGGCAGACCCTCCACCACCACCCAGTCATAGGGGACATCTTGGGCCATGAGGGCATGCACATGCCTTGAAGCCTCCACAGTTGCTGACTTTGGAGCACCCTCCCCCACCTGTGCATGCAGTTGTGCCGGCCATGCTCTGGTGGGGAGCCACAGCAGTACCGTGTGGTGCTGGGGCCCTGCACCAGCATGTCCTGGAGATACTCTGGCACAGTGGCTAATCAGCTCCCTGAAAACTCCCCCCCCCCCGGATTGTGCTGTAAATCGCAAAATTGTATATGGCTTTTTGAAAGTTCTCATTTGCATTAACTTGTGCAGCTGTTTCTTTCCAAATAGGTATTAGTAATTTTTACTGGAAGAACAGAGGGTCCCTGAGATAAGGATATGTATGAGGGGGGAAAACTGTCCTCACACTAATGTGGTTTTAGTCAGACGTTGGAATTGGCCGATATGTTTGACAAGCAAAGCAACTGGCCTTACAGATATTAATTAAGTGGAAGAACAACACACACTAAGCTGAACACTTTGTCATAAACTCTGTTATGTTGGCTAGAATTTTTGAGTATTTTACTATTTATTATGCTAACGTAACAACAGATGGCAAATACATCTTTCGATTTCCCTAGTTTAAGAGCTGGATTATGTGATCGTTGTGCAGTAACTGAAGAGCATATGGAGAAGAAACAGCAGGAAAAAAGAATTTGAAAATATCCGGCAACAGAATCTTAAACTGATCACTGAACTGAGTGAGTTTTCTCTTCCTCATCCGCAGGCCACAAAATCCTTGTATATGCTTTGTCATGACTTTCTGTCACGTCACTGCTAGCTTAACCCCAAGCCAGCTGAGTTTGTTAAATTTTGAAGTAACTTGTGAATGTTGTTTTCAAAATTGTTAGCAATATAACACAATAATTTTTCTGTTCATATGAGCTGTCATGCATTTGCACAAATTCAGTTAGCATTTAGGTGATGTTGAATTGTTCTCCAAAAACATTTCATTTTGATTTACTTGGTAGATAGGTTTGATCCATACATAGTATTAATTATCATCACATACATGTAAAAATCTGATCCCAAACCCAGGTTAGACTTTCTGCTCATAATTATAGACTTGTAGTGGTCATACTGGATACCACTGTACAGGTCCTCTGTTCTTCATTTCTGTTCTGTATTCTTTTTGACTTCTAATGGAAGGGGATATCCGCTAGGGCCTCACTATATGTCTTTTGGATTCATTGAAACTCTGATAAGATTTTGCTGCCTTGCACTCTAGTGAAGAGGTTCCTAACTTGTGATGGTTTCCATATGGCTACCTTAATGCCTTTGCTATCATCAATGAGGCAACAACACCCAAGTTAGTAGCCTTCAAAATGGAATTAAAAGTTCCAAATAGTAACTGTTGGCTAGATGCTTGGGAAGGGAGTACAACTCAAGAATACCCACCAATAAAGATGGCATCCTGATCAGTGTCACCCTATTGGCTGACAAGAATACTTTTGTTTAGATTGGAAAGAAAAAGATACGGGAATACAGGTTCATGCAAATTTGATGATCACTTCATTTAAAAACATACAACTGAAAACAACTTCATGTTTACATATTTCAGTGAATGAAAGAAACAGCTTACAAGATGAAAACAAGAAAATTTCTGAACAGCTTCAGCAGATACTTCAGTAAGTATTTTTCATATTCAGTGTACATATACAAACAGTGATGTATATAGTTCCGTGTCAAAAGTGTTTGATGATGATAATCAAGATCATAAATCCACTCGCCAGAGGCAGGCATCCATTCATTCCTCTCGGGCATCTCCTGTCAAGTTGCATAGAATAGATGCAAGCATCAGTAGTGTGCAACCTGAAGACCATACATCCTCTCTCCCAAGTTGGGGAAGGGATTTCTAGTGTTGCACTGGAGAGACTTGAAGCAGGTAGAAGAGCCACATGAGCTGCAGCAGGTGTAAGCAGTGAGTCTTTCAATATTACGGATTTCATCCTTTTCCAGGTTCTTTAGCAGCTGCTGGTTAGGGGCAGAGGGAGAGATAAGAGGCAAATGTTTACTAGGCAACACACAGGCTTTCGATAATGGCTGAAAAATATTGGAACAAGACAAGTGTGGACAATCACGTCCTAATCAGAGAAAAAAATTAAAGAGAACAGTCGTGAGAGTCTGACTCACAGATCATTCCGTGAACAAGACTCGCAAAGAAGATGCTTTCTGTATATTATGGTCAATAAGCACTACAACACAATAAACACATTCCTTCAAATCATAAGAAAATCCTAGTGTAAAAATACATTATCAACGTCATCTCTGGATTATATAACAACGTTTCAAAATTGGATCTTCCTCAGGAAATATTATAGTAGTACAAAAGCTCTCTTGCTCATAAAGTACTTTACAAAAAGTCCTGAAAGATAATACATTCAGATAGGACGCTGATCTCAATAAGTATTCAGGCTCAAATATGATGCTAAGCTTCTAATGGATCCCAAAACTGGAACATGCCCATTGTTTTCCCCTTTTACACCTTCATAGTCCCATTGACTCCATAATTGCTTATTGCTCATGTGCATCCCCACTGCCCTTAGCCACACCCTGTTTTTCCCAACCATGCTGCTCTTCAGTTTATCAACCACTTCTGCACAGCTTCCTCAGTCTTTTCCCATTGCCTCCAAATCCTTCCACCTTCCTCCCTTTCTATTTCCAGCTCTACTACCATCTTCTCGGAGATCTTTCTCTTCATTCATTCCACTTATGTCATGATGATTCTAACATCCTGTCTCTTTTCAAAATTTTCTTTCTTCTTACCATGTTATTTTCTTATCCCTGCTTATTGGCCATTTACTAAAATCTCAGGACTCCCTTTCACCTTCTTCCCTTGCCATATATGTAGAAGAATAAACATACAAATCTTGAGACATCACATGTTTTTTTTTAAATACAGGGCCCTTGAACTTTCTGAGATAAAACCTGCTTGAATGGGAAAGAACTGCAAATTTCACATTAGATTTAATTTTTTTTTCTTTTATTAGAGAGCAGAATGAAGATATGAAAGGATTTATACCAGACTCACCGGTTCAAACGCTTTCACTTTCAATGGTTAATCGAATGCGCCGAAAAAGAGAGAATAGGCATGTACGATACACAGAACGTAAGTGTACAGAATTAGAACAGAAAGGAAAAACTAATGGTAAGCTATTTAAAAATATTTTTCCCTGAAATAGCATGGAATGATGATAGGTTTATTTATTTATTTATTATTAATAATAAAGTAAGACGGACTAGTATTTAGTAGCTAGGCTGTAGGCAGCTCTAAATGTCTATCTTTTATGGTGAATATATAAAAAGTATTGTAGCCAAGTTGTATTGTTGCTTGGCTAACAATTTGCATTTTTTTATAATATGAAATAGAATCCTCCTTTCTTCTAGGAAATAGATTTGAAATTTTTGTACGGATGTTTCCTTGTCTGAATATTCTCATACCGCCACCTAGTTGACAGTGGAAGGATTTCAGCCCTGCCTATTCTACATTTGTAAAGCAAATATTAAAATTCACAAAAACAATATGGATTATACATTAAATCTTTCACACTTTGAATTTCAGCAATGCCAGTATGGCTGTTTTTAATTTTTTTAATCTTAAAACTGTTGGCAGAGTTTAGATTTGCAGTAATCCGGAGCACAAGCTGTTTAAGTAATAACATTGGGTTTATTAAGAACAGAACAAACTTTGTTTGGTGTAGTGCTTAAGTGTGCAGACTCTAATCTGGGAGAACCGGGTTTGATTCCCCACTCGTTCACTTGCAGCTGCTGGATCACCTTGGGCAAGCCATAGTTCTGTCAGAGCTGTTCTCTTAAGGACAGTTCTCAGAGCTCTCTCAGCCCCACTTACCTCACAGGGTGTCTGTTGTGGGGAAGGGAAAGGAGTTTGTAAGCTGCTCTGAGACTCCGAGTGAAGGGTGGGGTATAAATCCAATTTCTTCTCTTCTTTGTAAGAAAGAGGAGAGATAAAGTCTAACTAACTAGCTAGGAGAGAGTCAGGACTCAGGAACAAAGAGATCTCAAAAGGAGCATGAAAAACCCGCAATTGAGCCAATCAGGAGACAGGAAGGAGACTATTGAAAATAGTAGGAAGTCCCTAATCTCACTATGCTAACTAGTTGTCCTCTCTGCTGCCCCCTGCAGGATGTTCTTGTCATTTTTTATATATGCATGATAGACTTTGCATATTCCAACAAAACCAAGATATTAACTATAACTTTGGAAAAGAGCGATTCAGGTGGATAGCTGTGTTGATCTGAAGCAGCAGAACGAAGTCTGAGTCCACTGGCACCTTTAAGACCAACAATTTTTTATTCAAGGTATTTGTGCCCATGAAAGGTTATACCTTGAATAAAACTTTGTTGGTCTTAAAGTTGCCACTGGACTCAAATTTTGGGAAAGAGCATACAAATACACTTAATAGAAAACTATTATATATAAAGTGTGGGCCTGTGAGACTCACAGGGAGAATTCCATTTTCCCAAAAACTTTTCTGCTGCAGCTAACCGGGCCCGCTGCAGCTCTCAAGCTGCTGCACTGCTGCCAGGAACTCAATTTAACTCCTCCAGTATATTCTTTTTCAAGATTTCAGATTTTTCTGCAACTTGGGTGGGGGGAGTCCCTAAAGTTTGCAGAAAAATCTGTTCTGGATAAGTGTGGCCCTCGTGGTATCCACAATTGGGGTCATACTTGAGAATTAGATATACAGATATTAAATGAGAAACTTCATTCGACTAATGAAGAAAGTTGCATCTAAAACAACATAAATATTTGCTAATAAGTGACGGTGCTACAAAAAAGAAGGCTTTTAACAATTCAGTAAAAGTGGGTTAGATTCAGAATCGTGGACAATGTAGTGGATCCGAGTCCTTTACGACCACTCCATTGAGCAATGTTTGACCGCTTCCTCCAACTGAAATGGCTTTTCCTTAGGTTGGGGAAGGTGGATCCACACCGGTATCCATTTCATTGCCACTTCCTACGTAGGACTTAGTGGCCTATGCTCCAGACAGCCTTACCCAAAAAACGTCCGTGTACTGCTGCATGCCAGCCATTATCAACAACAAGAAACACGTGCACATCCCTTGTGTAGATCCAGCCATCCTTTCCTGCCTGCCACCCCTCAGAAAGTACAGGTTTATTCATTTGGAGCTCAAGGAATCTATCTGGGAGAAGCAGGAGAGGGGGAAGGAAAAGCTAAGCAGTTGTAGGTGGAAGCTGCATAGTAACAACAGTGCACTGCACCCATCTCTGGCCAAGGGCTAGTGAGGAGGCAGGAAAAACACTCCATTACATTCTGGTCTCTTTCCAGAGATACAGCTGTGTCCTTGAAGATGGATTGTATCCCATATCTTAGAATCTTCGCTGTAACTATGTTGCATTTGCCCAGCTGTGGTATTAGGGGAAATTTATTAATATAGATGAAATGGTTTGCCATTTGTTCTAGGTACAGAATTAATGTATCCAAAGTACCTCTAAATAGATTTTCATTTTAATATGCCATCACTAGATGGGATATTTTCATCTGCCAGCAGTATTTTCATTATTCTCTCTCAAAATGTTAATTATGTAAAAACAGAACCTTTACATAAGTTCTTTAAAACTATTTTGGACACCTTGAGTCTATATGGTAGTTATTCATGTTGTGAAACTTGGAGCAATGTGGAAACATGAGAAACTTTATAGTGTCATAAACTAAATCTAATAGAAGTTCATAAGGATTTCATTATATAATGAAGCTTGGGTTAGAGCATCTTTTCTGTGAGGAAAGAATGAAGAGTCTGGGAGTCTTCAGTTTAGGTAAAAGAAGGCTAAGGTGGAACATAGTACAGGTTCATAAAGTTATGCACAGGGTGGATAAATGTATAGAGGGAGCTTTTTCTCCCCTCTCCAAGCTAAAACCAAGGGTACCCAATGAAACTTATGATAAATAGCTACAGGAAAGACAAAAGGAAATACTTCATTACTCAGTGAGTAGTTAAATTGTGGAATTCACTGCCAGTGGAGGTTGTGATTGCTGTAAGCATAGATTCATGGAGAAAATAGGTCCATCAACTGCTACTAGCCACGGTGAGTAATGGGAGCCTCAATTTTCAGAGGCAATAAACCACTGAAACCCACTACTAGGAGACAACATCAGGGCTTGGCCTCTGTGCTTTGTTTGTTGGTCCTCCAGGGTAACTGGTTGGTTGCTGAGTGAAACAGGACGCTGGACTCCTTTTATGTATCAGCACTTTTCACAAAAAATGCCTAGGGCTAAATAAATACCCCTGTCCTAAATCCTGAGAGCTGTCTCCATCTTCTAAGCTTATACTACATATACTCAAATCAATATTTAGGTGCTTCCAACTTAGAATATTTTGTTTTAGTTTTTATTACCAACCCTCCCCATTTGCTCTGTTTGGAGCAGGTAACATAGTATAATGAGCTAGGCCAAATGCCCAACTGGAGTAAAACTCCAACTCTGGCTGGTTTTTGGTTACCAGGGTAAGCCGCCTTGAGGCGGCCTTGGCTGGGAGGGCGGGGTAAAAATCCAATAAATAAATAAATAAATAAGCAAGCAGTTGAGAGGTTAATTTTAATCTGTTTTCTACATTGAGTTTATACCTCTCAACTGTTTACCCTGGCAACTAAAAGCCGTCCAGAGTCAGACGTTCAGTCCAAGGGGGGGAAAGAGATTCAGTGTCGTAAGATGACCAAAAGACAGTGCTGCAGAGCCTCCCTATTAACAGCAGTCCCAGCAACAGTCCTGTAAGACCAACAGAAAGGCTGTATTACCGTAGAGAGAATAATGGCTTGTCTAAGGGATATAGTAAGTTGGTAACTAAGAGGAGGTTTGAACCTTCTAGCTCATACATGGATACTGCACTACATTATTTATCCTGTGCACAGGGAATAAGCAACTTCCATAGAAGCAAATAGGAATTCATGTGCATAAAGTGCAGTAAATTCCTTAGGATCAGAGTGTCAGATATTACAGAACTGCAAATCAAGCTCGTAACCTGCATCAAAATATAGTTATAAATGAAGCACCTCTTTTTCCTTTCTAGAGCTTGTGAAGGTTGGTTTGTTATCAGCTCAGAATAACGTTCATTCCAGTAAAGAAATATTGGTGGCAGATACCTGCACTACACAGTGTTCACCAGTACCAAGTAAATATAATCTATTTTACCATAATAATGGAAAGGAGCAAAGTGAATTGTGGCTAGCATTCATTCTGTGGAGTGATTTTTCTGTTTGGGTTTGTGACTAGAGGAAAAAGGATAATCCATTGTTGAATTGCTTCTAGGATACTCAGAAGGTACAGAGTTTTCCAACTGTAAAATATGTTAAGTTTATATATTATATATTCTTGCACAACTGTTTAACATTTGTTCTAAAGGAGATTGCCCCTCTCTCAATACTATACAAATTAGTGTTTCATAGTTGATTGACTTGTACAGGCTAAATTTTCAGTGTGCACTGAAAATAACTGAACTGTAGCATCTCAAGTGGGTCAGAATGTTTTGCCATCATGTGGAATCATGTGACTCCTGCCCATTTCTTGTCAGACTCCCTTCATAAAACTAGGAATCTGGTTATTTGATAAGATGTTTTAGGCTTACCGGAAACTTGTCATTTTATAAGGTATCATAAGGGGCTGGCTAGGCAATTTTATTAGTTTTTCATTGTAAACATTCTATTCAGATACTGTGTGTTTGTCTAAAATGTTACCCAGCCTAAAAATTTGAGGAATACGACAGGTTTGTTTTTTTTAATGATAATATTCCAAAATTTGCTCTATGATATGCCTGTACCAGTTACAGTGTAGAAAATCTGAAGGGTCAGGGTTTGATCAGATATGCTCTATATGTTGGTTTTCAAAGAGTGAAAAGGGTATGTGTACATGAACTCATTCTTTCATCATTATAAGCAAAAATTCAAAATTGACTCCTCCAAAATCATGTACTTCAAAAGGAAATCATTCTTCCATAATTTCACAGCTGTCAATTTATGATTCCCTTTCAGTTTTAATTCAATCTGTACAATGTACCAACAAGACTAGAATAAGAATTGCCATGCATGGTATGACTTACTGACTTCATTACTGACTTCATTTTCAATCTGCACAGATGAAAAAGGAACAGGAGACCCTGCCACAACATCGCCTTTTGACTTGGCTGCAGTTGTTGCAGAAACACTTGGACTTGATAATCCTGTAAGTGCAGAGTCTCCCTGTCTTGTCAGAAAGTCCATTCTGGTTCAGGGAGACTCATCCTCATAGGGAAAGTAGCCCCTAATTTTTGTTTCATCTTATGATTCAGCATAAAAGTACTGCCAGCTGTTAATGGCCACATGTAAAGAAGCTGGCTGTTTACAATGCACAGTATAATAACTGCTTATGAGTTCTTGTCTCAGAAAGTAAATGAAAACATACATTGCTGAAAATGAAATATTCCTCTTGAGGTTACTCATTATGAGAGATAAAATCTAGGTTAAAAAAAGATGCCACACTTGCATAAAAATAATGTCTTAGGGAAAACAAATCAGAAGGGGCGGTTTGTTTGACTTATTGGAGAAAAAATCTTGGGAGTCAATTTGAATTAATTACCATGATCCTTCAGTTATAGGTTTAGAAAATAATTAGTAACAAGAGTTTGGCTTCCTCAGGCATCAAATAGGAAAAACCTAGCAAATTATGAGCAACACTGGAAAACTCTATTTAAAATCCTCTTTTTCGTACATGCTCTAAACTCATCTGTGGTGAAACGGGCCTGCTCTGACCTGCAGGCCCCATTTCACCCTGCTCTCTAGGGGTTTCTCAGCACCTGGAGGGGCTTTTCTTTCCAGTAGTAGACCACCACTTGACCTTTGTAAGGAATTAGCCACTGGGAGGGTCAGGGCTCCCAGCTTCCCTTGCAAGTTCTGAGGCCTTGCCTGTGTGTCTCCTGCTGCCCAGTACCTGGTCACTACAGGGACAGTTTACTGCCTTGCACCCTTAGAGGAATAGCCATTTGCCAGCTGACTGCCTTCCCCCTGGTGCTTCTTTTAAAATAGTGTGTCTGAGACAGTGGAGGTCTATGTGGTACAGAGAACCACTCCCAGCACCCAAACTTATAAAGTATTTATTAGAAAGGAAAGCATGCTTTTAGCACAGCACCTGACTGAGCAAGGGTTACAAAAGAAATGGGCAATAACGCAAAGCCTCTATTCCTCTCTCTATACATGCCCCATCAGATGTTAAAATAGGACAGGCCCCTTTTGCGTAGGGTCCCTTTAGAGTTGCCTCTACCTTGAAGCTGTCTCCAGCTTTTCAGCCAAGCACATGGTCAAAATGGCTGCCTTCCCAAAGGAGAGGTCTGTGTGTGCTTATGGATGCAGCATGCAAGGAAAAGACAGCTCCTTCCTTGTTGCAAGGAGTTTTTATCATATCTGTTTCTCCACCCACTGACCAGGTCATCCCAGGTCAGAGAAACATTTCCTAGGCCTTCTTCCTGGAGTTTATTCCTGGATCCATTCCAGTCTGTGTTCCCTGCTTGGAGAAGGGGAAGAACTTGACCCACCCATTATCTCCTGCTAGATCTATAAGCATTTGTATGGAGGTGAACTGAGGTACATCTGGGAAGCAATTGAACTGACTCCCCCCCCCCTTCTTCTGCCTACTCTATGCCTAGAGAGAAAAGAACTGTTGAAATGCAACATGGAGGCTTGGCTCATTTCAAACCTCCTAGGGAAAAAAGGCATTTCTTGACTCATCCATAATTTACAAGTTGATCCTACCACCAACTTTAACCCTAACTGCTGACAAAGACACTAGTGACTGTAAGCGGGGGGGAAAGGAAGAGTCTGCCTGGGTTTGTTTCTCTTGTCCCCATGCATTGTGTGCCATTCAGGGAGTATTCAAAGTACCAGGAACCCTGAGAAATTTAGTGCCCTGGGGCATGGGTGTGATCTTAGCTCGCTCCACTAAACCAGAGTGTCTGTGTATATTTGGGGTGTGTAAAAAAAAAAATTTAGATGCCAAACCGTGAATAAAATTATTCCTTTCTGATGTGATATTTTTGTGCCATGGATTCTTCAGTACAAACAGGGAGACTCAAGAAAGCACATGGCTCATGGATTACCAAAAAGCAATGGCGACAATATGGGGTGAGTCTTCAATATTTTTTTTTAATAAATGAAGGCTTTGAATAGACAGATAAATAAACATACATAGCATAAATTTATTTCAGTTTTTGTAGAAACTAATTTTGGGTTCAGATAGCTTCAGTTGGTCAGGTATGATAAAGTTCAGACTTTGGATACTGTAAAACAAAAAACATTGTATCTGACCCAAAATATTTTTTAAACAGTTTTGTCAGTTACAGGTGAAACATTCCATTTTTATTCAAAGTAGGGATGGACACGAACCTAAAAAATCTGCTTCGGGGCAGTCCCCGAACTGAACCCTGAGCCAAACTGAACCCAAAGGCCTCCAACCGAGCCAGTCTGGCAAGTTCGGTTCCCCCTTTCTCCCAGCTGTGTTGAGCCCAGGAAGGGTTAAATTACTAATGAATGTTTGTATTCAGAGGATGTACCTATCAACAACAGCTAGGACAGAGAAGAATTTTGGAAATGGGGAGAGATTGAAAAATGAAATCCTCCCCATTTTGAGATTCTCAAGGCACTATGAGCAGACCCCAACATATCTCCAACCCTACAGCTTAATGGCCAGTTCTGAACTTATCGTTATTAATCACACATAGAGAAACCGCAAGAAAATGGCCAGAGGTAGGCGTCTGCCCTAACTTACTGTAAGAATAAAAGTAATACATTTCTATGGTGTGTGTATATTATATATAGAGACTCCATAATGCATTTCATTGTTACTAAAATTAACTATTGTTACATACAAACAAACCATCAGGGTTCATATTTCATGTACTATTAAAAAGTCAGTGAAGCATAGTAAAAAGTTTAAAACATGCTAGTATCATCTGCTAAGGCCTCAGAAATGCATGCTTAGTAGATTCTATGCGTTTGGGTCCAATAGAGCGCCTCACTTGTCAGCATTGCTCTTCAGTCTCATCCCTAGTGACACACCTTGCGACCTCACCCTAACCCTTGTTATATTGTAGTAGTAGCTGATCATGCATTCATTAAGCTGATGATTCCCCACTATTTAATTGTTTTTCAATATTTCACATTTAACACTTTATGCATGATGTAGCTTTTCTCAGCAGTGAACCTTTGACGTTTTTTCTTTAATCTTCTGTTTGTGGTCAGGTTTTTAGATCCGTTGGACACCACTCCTCCGCCTGCAGACAGGGATTCTAAGTCCCTCTCTCCTGTTATGGGGGCCTCTGCATCAGCTAACGTGAAGACGAGCATGGGACTGAGTACGAGTCTTTCCCCCTCTGTATTAGCAACGGGACAGAAGTCACATCTGAAAGTCAGCTCTGTCAACAGTTCTTCTTATTGTAGCCCTGAGAAAGTGAGGTCAAAATCTGAAGATGTTGCTTTTTTTGCTCCACCTAACCTTGGAACTGAATTAGCCTCTGTTATCAGTCAGGCTCCAACCAGTTGGCAAGGGGTCATGAAAGAGAATTCAGATGAACCCATTATGTGTGTCACTAACACACGTTCAGATAAAGATGAAAATGTCAAGAGTGATTTCCTTCTTGCACCACAGAAACCACTAGTAAGTAGAAGCACTAAAAGGAAGAAATCTGAGGAGAAAAGTGGGCATGTGACTGGCTTTGGAAAAGAAAATGCCCTCCCAGCCCAAATAGACATTCCTTCTGCTGCCACCAGAGATAACGCGGCTGACAAGCCCCTAGATCTGTCTGATCGTTTTGGTTGTTTTTGGTCTCAAGAAAAAAGCCATGCATCTTCTGAGCTCTCCAAAGCCAGGCTGAGGCAGGCAATTCTCCATGATGTTTTCCAACCACTAGAGGAAGAGACTTCATCCCTTAAAAGCATCAGTGTTAACTACGTAGCAAACAAGGATTTGGAAGAGGATCCCTGTGTACAGGAAGCACTCCTGAAACCTCTGAGCAAAGCACCTATAGAGATTAAACCTCAAGTACCCATAAAAAATGAAGCCCTTGCCTTTTGTATTGTACAGCCAAATGATGCCCTTGAGTCAGAACTCTCTGAAGACATGACAGTAAGTTAACTGGTCAGGGCTTTCCCCCCTCCCCCCGTAGTTCTGGGGGAGGGCTAGCATTTGCAAGGGTATTTCTTATGTGAAGACCATATATCATATGTATAAGGAGTTTTCCTGTAGTTTATTCGTGCATATAGGCTAGGAGGCCAGGGGATCCATAGAAGTGTCTAAAGTGAATTTTGAACAGGTTAGAAATAATATTTGACAGTCCTGAACTTATTTGAACCATGGTTGTGTTTTTAGGTGTGGTGTAGTGGTTAAGAGAGGCAGACTGTCATCTGGAGAACCGGGTTTGATTCCCCATTCCTCTACATGAAACCAGCTGGGTGACCTTGGGTCAGTCACGGTTCTCTCAGAGCTGTTCTCTCAAGCAGTTCTCTTAGAGCTCTCTCCTACCTACCTCACAGGGTGACTGTCGGGAGAGGAAGGGAAGACGATTGTAAAGCCGCTCTGAGACTCCCTTGGGTAGTGAAGAGTCGGGTATAAAAACCAACGCCTCTTCTTCTCTTCCTTCTTTGCTCAGGTCTGTGAACCAACAAGTAAGAAAATAAAGGCAAGGCTTGGAGTGGGTGAACCAGCATCAGTGTTACAACCAAATCCTTGCAGAGTGACGAAAAAGGCACAACAATACAGTCAGCAAGGTATCTGTTAACATCACTGCATTGCATTATGTTCTCTGTCTTCAGCCTTTGATGTGTTGGTGGTGGTGGAAAGTACTGGCAAGTCACATCTGACATATGGCGACCCCCGCAGGGTTTTCAAGGCAAGAGACGTTCAGAGGTGGTTGGCCATTGCCTGCTTCTGCATAGCAACCCTGGATTTCCTTGGGGGTCTCCCATCCAAGTACTAATCAGGGCTGACCTTCCGTGCTTCTTTCACATTTCCTTTTAAAATTTGCCTGTATACGACATCCACCATCTACAGTAGCCACTGGTGTATGTGTGTGTGTTTAGAGTGTTATGCTTGCTAAGACATAAAATTAATGACTTTTACCATTGTTTCATTTTCATTTGAAGATAAGCCATCCTTGGAAAGTGTGCAATGGAGTATAGATCCAGGAGCAGACCTTTCCCAGTATAAGATGGATGTAACTCTAATAGACACAAAAGTAAGCAGTGCTCAATTGTTGCTTCACTCAGTGAGCAAAAATAGTTGTTGCTGTTCGCATAATAGGTTTGTGCAAGATAAAGCAGAACTACACTGTTTTTTAAAATCAGGTTGCTGCCTCTAGGCTGTATACCTAAATCAAAGCTTAGAAAACAAAGATAATTTAATAGAGTAATCCAAAGATTCTGTTGCTGACTAGTGAGAGTTTTCTTGGGTATCTGTATATAGATACTGACAGGGCTATTTTTGGGCAGGAACGCACAGGAACGGAGTTCCGGCTGGATCCTGAGTTGGCCATGCCCAGCAGGAACTCATTAGCATAATAGGCCACACCCAATAGCAGAAACTCATTAAGATTGGCTACATTAGGGGTGTGTGGCCTAACATGCAAAGGAGTTCCTGCTACAAAAAAGCTCTGGGTTTTGACAACAAACAAGGTAAACAGAATAAGAAGCAAAAGGTGGGTGTGGCTGGATGAGCACACTTCTGGTAGCATGGGGGTGTGGCCTAATGTGGTAATGAGCTGTGCTGTCAGGGTATGGCCTAATATGCTAATGGATTTTGCTGTTGGGTGTGGCCTGTTATGCTAATGAGTTCCTGCTGGGCTTTTTCTACAAACGGAGCCCTGGATACTGAACTTTTGTGAAAACACCACTACATCAAAATTTCTCCAACCGTGGAAAGTTAATGTGTCAGAGAACCAGTACTCCCACTTTCCTGCACACACCTCCTGTCCTCTGATCTCACAAAGGGAATATCATACCACATGACACTGAAAGAAGCTTAGAGACCAATCCTGAGTAGCTCTACTCAGAATCCTGGTCTTAAATTGGGCTTACTCTCAAGAAAATAGTTTTAGGATGGCACTTTTGCTGAAGTTATTTTTTAAAAGCCCAAACTGCTTGCTTGCCTTCCTTAAATGAAAGTTTTGTGTTGGAAAATTTGCCATCAGTTTATCTGCTTGAAACATATATATCTTGTCTCTTCAGATGTTTGTAAAATTTCAAGGAACAATTTGAAATATGGTCTCATCGTGGTAGTTTGCCATAGCAATATAATGTTTCAAACAAATCAGTTTTTCCAAATAAAACTCAAGCTGTTTTATTAAAGTCAAGTAGCAAGCTTTTGTCCCTTTGTCATGCTAAAAGTATTCTGAAAACATGGGCCTATTGAACAGGAAAAATGTTTTGTAATGTTGTAGTATGGCCCACAAGCACGCAACATTTTCTTTCCAGAGGGCTATACTGAAAGCCTTTTATGTGTGTGTGTGACTGGACTATTAGACCTGAAGTCCTGTCTTTCTTACAGTTAAAATATACGCACACACAAAATGGACAGGAACTGGGTCTAATTTCTTTTATTTTTCCAGATTCAGGATTGGGAATGTAATTTTCTATTCAGTATATTTTAAAATCCCAACTGTATTTAAATGCAAATCCAATTTCCTGGTCCTAGAAATCATGACATTTGAAGCTGAGATGTCAGAGGTTCCATTGCTTACGTGAGTGAAGGAAGCAACCAAACATAATGGATGAACCATCTTTGAGATGTTTAGGATTCTAATAGAATCTAATAGGTTTCATAGGGCAGGTGCAACATGTGACCAACAGTCTAAACATTGTTAAGTGCTCATATGTTGGACACATGGTAGATGTTAAGCAGTTATGCATTGGCTGTTCTCTTTTTTTAAGTGTGGTTGCTGTAATTATTTTTTAACTGTGTTGCCAATAAGGAAAATACCCAAACAAGATTTGAAGCAGAGACAGTAGATATGGAACATACATACGTCAGTGAAAGTATTCTGCTGAGACTGAAAAATCAGGAACAGAAAGCAAACAGTCCACGTAAGTTGTTTTGTTTTTAATTGACTGAACAATAGAAATCCATAACAGTATGTGAAATTCAGTTCTGTTGATAACAACCAAAAACTTGTCTGTATGTGACTCTGCCAGTTGATTATCAAGTACTTAACAAGGGGTCAGTGTGTGAACAGCCCACTAGGTTTGAAACCATCAGAACCCAGGGATCACACAACAGATATAATGAGAAACCTCAGCAGGTTACAGTCAGTTTAGCGAATAAAGAACAAAGGAAATATCCTCTGAGCATTTTGTGAAGTCACAATCAGTGCAAAATGGGTGAGAAGAAACTGCTACACACTGAAAGTGCTGGGATTGACCTTTAAAGCCCCATACAAGTCGGGGTTAACATATCTTAAGGGCTGCCTGCTCCCATATGAACCTGCCCAACCACTCTGGTTGTCTTCAGAGGCTCTGGTTCAGGTGCCCTGGCCGCCTGAAATCAGACAGGTGGCAACCCAAGAAAAGGCCTTCTGGGTTGTGGCACTGAGACTTTGGAACTCCCTTGCCAGGGAGATTCATCTGTCTCCCTCTGTCCTTATCCTCTACCAGTGTGTAAAGACTTCTGGTGTTTTTTGTTTTTGCTTTTTGGTTCAGTGTTCCCGTGCTTTTATTAGCTCTTCTCCCTGTTTGTGTGTTTATGTTTTAATTGTTTTGAATACTTTGATATATAGTTGATTTTAAACGCTGTTTTAATGTTTGAGATGCATTAATGTTTACCACATGGGGGCCCTGATTTGGCTGGAAAGGCAGCACAGATATGTTTTGAACAGGTAAACAGATAAAATTAATTAGTTTATGAACTTTGGGATCATGTTCTCACATGAGAAGCAGGCTCACAGTCACAGATGTGCTTGGACCCAGCATTATTATCTAGGTGACAGCCATAGCCTGGTTTTATATTTCCACTTTCGCTTATTTACCAGCTGCATGTATTTCTAGATAGAACTGATCTGATCCCACTACCTTCATTCCCTAGTAACTTGTTAACTGGAGAATTATAGTCCATGTACTTCAGCTGATCCAGAACAAGCCATCTCATCTGTCTAGAGCTGGTTGCTGGACACACATAACCCTATCAGAAATCTTGACTGGCTAACAGTTAACTCAAGGTGCTGGTCCTAAACTGTGGGGGTCTATGATACTTTAGGGAGCACTTTCTCCCGCATACACCTACCCAGGAAATTGGATATTGATTATTTAGTCACCATCTTTATCAGCAACAAAACATTGTCTGCTGGGTATGAGGCTTTCCAGTAACGTAACCAACACTTTGGAACGCCCCCCTGATCTAATAAGCCTATTCAACTGGTATCTATGAATGGTTGCTGAAAACCTTCTCCACCAGGCCTTTTATGCCATTAATTTAAATGACACTGCTGTCCTTTAATTTTATGGATTATAAAACTGTACTTGATACTTTATGTTTTGATTCTGTACTTTTATGCTTTATTGCAGTAGGTGTGATGGCCTCGGGACCAAAAAACCTAGTGCAATTCTAAATTAAAATCTGTGGCACTTACAGGTAGCCTAAAGAAAATTAACTTGTCCATGTCCCACCCTGAACATAGCATATTCTGGTACCCTTTCCAAACCTATTCTTTATCTTTAAAGGTAAAGGTAAAGGTTCCCTTGCTCGAAAGCCAGTCGAATCCGACTCTAGGGTTGCGGTGCTCATCTCCATTTCCAAGCCGAAGAGCCAGCGCTGTCTGAAGACATTTCCGTGGTCATGTGGCCGGCATGACTAAACACCAAGGTGCACGGAACACTGTTACCTTTCCACTGAAGTGGTACCTATTTATCTACTTGCAATTTCTTGCTTTCGAACTGCTAGGTTGGCAGGAGCTGGAACTAGAGACGGGAGCTCACTCCGTCATGCAGCACACTCGGGTCTCGAACTGCTGAACTACCGACCTTCCACAGCCTGCAGTTCAGCGTCTTAACCACTTGAGCCACCGCAGCTCTATTCTTTATCTTTACCGGATAGTTAATGTTTTATGTTCTTTACCTGATAGTTTTATGTCCTTATTAAGTAAGGTTTAAGAAACATAATAGTAAAAGCCCTTCTTTTGACACGTGTTGAGCTATAGATTTTATCACTATCCTGAATTAGTTACAGGAACAATCTGTATATTGGAAATCCATGCACAATTACGTTTTTATTAATGGATGCATGCTATTCAACATGATACCACATACTAACAGCAAATCAAGGAATAGAAACAAGATTGTTTGCAGATGAATAAAGCAAATATTTGATATAACCATGCTGCTTTATTAACCTGAATTGCCAAGAATGATGCTAGTAATTCCTGTATGTTTATGTTTATAGAAAGCGAAATAAGAAAGAATGGTGACTTAACAGTAATATTTGATCAGACGACATATGAAGAATACAACTCCTATTTAGAAGATGATAATCTTCCAGAATGTAACAATAAAGATGTGTCTCAAGAACAAGGGGAAGACGATAAGACAATATCAACAGGAAAGAAAAACCAACAGAGTAATTTTTATTTTGTAGTCTACCCTATATAAATAGGATGAGAGTATAACTTTTCTTTTGAATGCATGAAGATGATCCTTAACATTTTGTTTTTACATTCTAATGATTTCATTTATGGAAACGTTGATATATCTTGTGTGGATAAATTGATAGATAACTATGATCAAGTATCTTCAGAGAAATTTATGACAATATCATGTTATCGTAAGCAGTATTTCACTTTAAGGCATATTTTATGTATTATCAGGACATGAAGACAAAAAAGATAAAACCAAACAGAAGGCTTTTGTTGAGCCCTATTTTAAAAGTGATGAAAGGTAAATATGTATTTTAATGTAGTTTCTGCACTGTAAAAATTATTCAGTTTTTTTCTCTGCACGTTATTACATTGCAAAGCTGGAAGTCTGTTCCTGGGAAAGATTTACAAAGAAATTAACAGTACAAAATATATGTCTGGAATACTTGTCAATTTAACAGTAAGAAAATATGACTGTGTAGATGAAACTTGCTTCCCACATAAAGACTGAGAAAGATAAGAAGCAAAGGAATGTTTTTCTTGTTACCATTATTTGATTGACATTTGGGATGTTGATTACTTGCCCAAGCTTTTTTCATTATAGCTGTTTAGTAAACTATTAAAATGACTGGATATGATGCAGTAGCAGCATTTATACTATCTTTGGACACCTGTTATGATCAAGTCACCTTGAAGTCTATGCAGTTTGAATAATAATTAACAATGACCAAGTTCAGAAGAACAATACTAGATTGTCAGAGTCAAGGTGCAAGCCAAGTCAGAGTCAAGATTCAGCCCAGAAGGTCAGTTATCAGAGAGCAGAGTCCAGTTTTATTTATTTATTTATTTATTTATTTTGGGATTTATATCCCGCCCTACCCGTGCGGCCCAGGGCGGCGAACAAGCGGCAACGCCGGAAATAAAACATAAGTTACAATTAAAACATCAGTAATACAAGCTAAAATGGTGCTCTACAGTTAGTTATAAATGGTGCTCTACAGTTAGTTATAAAAGTTCATTTTAACAGTTCAGAGTATGGGTCCAGAAAGCAAGGTCTAGCAGTCCAAGGTCATATAAAAGAGCAAGCAGGTCCAATACCCAAGTCCAAAGGTTACTGGAGTGGAGCAGAGTCAGGAGCTGTGGTCACAGAGTCCACTGGGTGGTGACTTGTTGCTCCTACCCCTAGCAGTCTCCCTTGTCTGGCTTTTAGAGGCATTGTTTGCAAGGTCTTGGAAGTAAACCCGCAGCTACTCATCATCAGCAAGCAGTTGGCATCAGGCCAGGAGACTAGTGCTTTGTCTTCTCTCCTGGAACTCCATTCTAAGTCTTCATCTCCAGCACTCAAAGGGTGTGGGTGAAACTGGAGGGCTGGTAATGACCACCTGGGTTTCATCTGTTGGAGGGACTGGAAGGTGTTGGTGGCCCTGCATCAGTTGGCTGCAGTTCATCTTCTTGCCTGGGCTTCTGCTGCTTCAGATCTGGCTACACAGGACTCCTCTCCTCCTGAGGAGTCCTTCTCTCCTGACTGACCCACGACATAGAGCTACTGCCATGATGGTGACAAGATCCTGCTTTTTTCTCTTATATGTAAATAAAGCAATAGTTAAATCAAATTGCTGACACTTCTGGTAGAGTTCCTCTTAATGTTGCATCATTAAGCAAGTATAGAATAAAAAAAATTGCAGCATCAAGTTTCAATCCTAGCAATGTCTCTTTTTTACTTTCTAGAAAGAACTCTGTATTAGATTTTCCTCATATTGAGGTTGTTCGTAAGAGAGATGAGAGAAGAAAATTACCTGGCCATACTTGTAAAGAGTGTGATATAGTAAGTAAATTATTTCCTTTTCTTGTATGAGTCAGAATACCTTTTTTTCAGTAGAATTCAGTAGAATTTTCTACCTTCCACCTATGACATGTCTTGCATATGGAGCATTATCTTGCATATGGAACATGGGGCAAAATGCAGAGAGGGCTGTAACCAGATGGAACCATAGAGTCCCAGAGTACAGGGAGAGCATTCAGGGTGTGGTTGGAGGGAACATAATGCTTGCTGAGCCTATACCTGTGTGGTCTGATCAGTGCCTGGACTGAAGGCCTCTTGAGAACCTGATGCAAATTGACTGAAGAGACAGGGAGCTTCAGAAGCCTGATGTGTGAGCACTCATACAAGCAGCATGATCATTTTGGATCTTGCTTTCTCAAAGATTTGTATCTCTATTTTGTTTGCTATACATGATATTTAAACTGACAATGTATTTTATGGCAATTATAATTCTTCATTTGGGCACTAAGTTATATGAATAATGTATTAGCAAATACTTTCTTAGTTTTAGCATGCTTTTTCTTGCCTCTGACTTATTGCACTGCTTCAGATAGCCTAATATAAAATGCATCCAATAATTGTATGAGAGCAATTTGTGTATATAATTTGCTACCACATTATCTTTCAGAGAAGCATTATTGCTTACTGTTTAATTTTCCATTTTTAACCATTTTTTCCAGTTTCTCCATTTAAAACGAGCACATTAATGTATTTCTGAAATGGAACCTTAAAAAGGAAAAGCAATAAAATCTCTGTACATAGCTTAATTTATAGCTCACTGTGGAACTGAATTCTCTGTTCCAAAATATGTGAAACTTAGAAGCCTTGAATAAAAACAGGACATAAAAGCAGCTCTGTGTCTTGTGCCAAGAGTTGTGTGTGAACAATTTTAATTTCCTGTCTGTGTACAGTACAGAGCTTTTCCTCTCCAGGAACTTGGTTCTTGTTACATTTTGGCGACTGTGAGGTCAAAAACATTTTGAGACACTTTTTGTAATAAGGAAAAGTTTCAATAAAGACAGAATTTGTAAGCATTTATGAAAAGAACTTCTTGTATAAACTATCCAAGAAGAATGTTTCACAAAAATATATGGAATGTCAGTAAAGGCATTTTTACTAAAACAGTGGGATAAGACACAGAAGACTTCTAAACCAGGGTCCAGCTAGATGGGAAAGTTAAATTAGAATGAAAATATTTTGATTAACACTTGTGGCTCTGAATGTATTCTACAAAGAATGAGGAAGCATCTGGGGAAATAGATAGAAGTGATAAGCTATATTGCATCATTAAAAACTATCTTGCTGTATCAGGCCATGATCTATCTAGCCTAGCATCCTGTTTCCAGCAGTGGCCACCCAACTGCCTCTGGGAAGCCTGCAAGCAGAGAATGAAAGAAGCAGCCTTCCCCTATTTGACTTCAGCATCTGGTATTAAGAATTATACTGCCTCCATTTTCCTACTGAAGTTAAATAGCCATTGGTAGACAGATGCATAGTCTACTGGTCTTCTGAAGTCATTTAAACCAGCAGTGGCCATAATTCACTTGCAGTAGTAAATTCTGTAAGTTAATTTTACATTTTGTGAAAGATTACTTTCATTTGTCTGCCTGAACCCAATACCTATCAAATTCACTGGTGACCTATTAAATATGGTTGTGTAATATCAAGTTTGTTGAACTCCTATAAGTTCCATATTGTTAATCTACGTTCTTTTAATGACAGCCATTTATAGTATGATGGTTATGTAGATCAATGTTTGCTTCAGATTGTATGCTTGGATTTAGTGCATTGTGGTTTGCTTGTTGTCTTTGATCATTCTGTACCAGGAACAGAGAGGCCAGTCTCTATGTGAGGTTCAGCACCACCTCCTGGTTGTAAGTAGAGATGTGAAAGCCCAGGGGGGGAAATGGAAGAATTTGGGAGAGGACAACACAGGGTTTTCTCAAAAAAAACCAAAACATTTTTCTGATGGAGAAATTGGAAGTTTGGGGGAGTACTGAAAAAAAATCCAGTGAAATAATTTCTCCTTTAGAATGAGTGAAATGATTTTGAATACAAGATGGGCATGCTGTAGTTCTGCTCCTAGAAGGATATCTAGTCTTCATGAAGGAAACATGCAGGGCTGTCATTGTTTTTCAGCCTTTGCATACCTTCTGTTGTCCTTTTGACCTGACTTGTGGTTGACCTTTTTATTTCTCCCTCTAACCACTGTGACACACATAACCACAGATCGGGTAAAAAGTAGTTTATTGGCCTGCCTTGCAGGAGGAAGAAAAAAGATGAGAAGAAAATAGGGCGGAAACTGCACCAAAGTTTCAGAGGGAAACTTAAAGTTTTGTTAAAAACTTGGTTCTCTCTAACCTGATAGCAAAACTAAGACAGCAGAGGGTGCATCAGCCTGTAGTTTTCTTTCAAGTGTTGGGTACATTTGCAATTTTGTTTGTACAAAAGGCATTTAGGTAGGGACCTAACAGAAGCAGAAGAGATTAGGAAAAGATGGCAAGAATACACAGAAGAACTATACAAGAAAAACCTTGATGTCCTTGACAACCATAACGGTATAATCACTGACCTCGAGCCAGACATCCTGGAATGTGAAGTTAAATGGGCCTTAGAAAGCATTACTAACAACAAAGCTAGTGGAGGTGATGGTATCCCAGCTGAGCTATTCAAAGTCTTAAAAGATGATGCTGTTAAAGTGCTGCACTCAATTTGCCAGCAAATTTGGACAACGCAACAGTGGCCACAGGATTGGTAAAGGTCAGTATACATTCCAATCCCAAAGAAGGGCAATGCCAAGGAATCTTCAAACTATCGCACAATTGCACTCATATCACACGCTAGCAAGGTCATGCTCAAGATCTTACAAGCTAGGCTTCAAGAGTATGGGGATAGAGAACTGCCAGAAGTACAAGCTGGGTTTCGAAGAGGTAGAGGAACTAGAGATCAAATTGCCAACATTCGCTGGATTATGGAGAAAGCAAGAGAGTACCAGAAAAACATCTACTTCTGCTTCATTGACTATGCTAAAGCCTTTGACTGTGTGGATCAAACAAACAATGGCAGGTCCTTAAAGAGATGGGAGTACCAGACCACGTCACATATCTCTTGAGAAACCTGTATAAGGGCCAAGAAGCGACAGTTAGAACCGGATATGGAACAACTGATTGGTTCAGCATAGGAAAAGGAGTACGACAAGGATGTATATTGTCACCTTGCTTATTTAATATATATGCAGAGTACATCATGCGAAATGCTGGCCTGGATGAATCACAAGCGGGAATTAAGATTGCTGGGGAAAAGATCAACAACCTCAGATATGCAGACGATACCACTCTAATGGCAGAAAGTGAAGAGGACCTAAAGAGCCTCTTGCTCAGGGTAAAAGAGGAGAGCGCAAAAGTGGGCTTGAAGCTCAACATCAAAAAAACTAAGATCATGGCATCCGGCCCCATCACTCCTTGGCAAATAGAAGGGGAAGCATTGACTTCGCTGGCCCCTTCCAAGGACTGATATTCCTGGTCACTGTGGACTCCTACTCTAAGTCAATCCTAAAAGGAATCAACACTGACTGTTCCCTGGAAGGCCAGATAATGAAACTGAAGCTCAAATACTTTGGCCACCAAATGAGAAGAGAGCACTCACTGGAGAAGACCCTGATGCTGGGAAAGATTGAAGGTCAAAGAAGACGGGGACAGCAAAGGATGAGATGGTTAGACAGTGTCATAGATCCAACAAACATGAAATTGAGCAAACTTCAGAAGACGGCGGAAAACAGGAGGGCCTGGCGTGATCTGGTCCATGGGGTCGCGAAGAGTCGGACTCGACAGTGTGACTGAACAACAACAAAGGCATTTATAATTTAAATTCTTTAAATATGTCAAATATTGCAATTTTATATGCTAAGTTATAAATTATGCAATTTATGTTGTCACTGTGGTAAAATTAGTTTAGGTTTGATAGAACATTAACATCCATATACTTCAGTTTCCCCCCAAATTTCTGTTTTTTCTGGGGGGGAAACTTGGGGGGGGGGGGAATGACTATTACATGAATGGCTCTAATGCCCAACCTTTTACCTCCCTATGGTTTTCCACTGTCCTCTGAGCAGGAAATCTTTCAGCTACACAATTATGAAGGCTCTTCCAGAGGCTATGAAAAGCTGGGCGATTTATAATTTTGGGGGTGACCTTTTATCTATTAATGCTCTGGCTTGTTCAGTTTTCATAAGAATTCTTTTGTTTTGTATCATTTTTAAATTAATCTTGACTACTTCTTTGGAGAAAGGTGGGTCAAAACTGTCACGGCATTCCAGGAAACTTGCAGTAGTTCTTGGATTGGTAGCTGCCTACGTGCAACCAGGCCCAAAGGGTACTTAGATTCTTATCTGTGTGGTTTCCAGTCTCTTTGACTGGGTGCCCACCTTCAGGAACAAATCGGTTGGAATCTCAGGCAAGCTTCAAGAAATTGGTAGCCTTCAGATGTCTCACACTGTCTGCATGGCAGCTAGTGCAAACATAATAGTCATCAAGCCTGGATGGAGGACACCCTCACCTCAGAAAATGTATCCAGTATCTTCAGCATGACTGTGAAGTGGCCCAGCAGGCAAATAGTTTGGAAACACCAATGGAAGTTACACTGTTAAGTGTTCTGGAATTTCTACAGGGTGGTCTGCGGAAAGAACTTTGGCACCAGTACCTTCATGACACAGGCCTCTGTACTGAGCAAAGAAGTGTGTTGTAGAAACAAGAAAAATCTGTATCCAGTTCTGTTAGTCACTTTCATTTGAGGGCGTCAGAGTTTGGGAATCTGAGTTTTAATTTTTGAACAGGTTTTTTTTTCCTTTTAAAAAAAGATAGCGATAGTTTGACCCTGCATTTTTATTTTTGCAGAAAGTTGGTTCTTTTCCAGTAGGTCTCAGGAAATGGCATTGCCTAATTTTCCTCAAATCCTATTCTTAGGGGTGACCATGTTGGATATTCTTGGACAGCAGATAATGGAAAAGGAAGGGGTTCTCCCCATGTCCTTCTAACTGCCTTCCATGGGCAGGAGAGAGAAGGAAGCTTCTATCACCATTAACTTTCTTCTATGTACCCAGGATTGAGTGTTTGGGTTGGTCCGCATTCATAGGCACATTTTGAGGAGATCATTAGATCCACAATGGGTTTCATCAGTTTTTAGTTTGTAATGGATGCTTAGTTTCAGCTGGGTCTGTTTGTACCTTTTTCCAGTTGCCATGTTTGGTCCTGATGGAACCTGCTTGACCAGGTCTGGTCTCAGAAAACAAAGAAGCAGCAACAGCTGGCTCACTCAGGCAGGTGGATACACTGTCAGGGGCTGTGACTTCTGCCTTAGCAGCCAACTGCCCCATGCCAGGTTGCCTGGTGAGGTCAAACATAGACCCTGTTTTTCTAACCAGGAGGAGGTGCTATCCTGGATGTAGATACTGGCTTCTGTACTCATAGGACAATAGAAATTTTCAGGAAGTGAACATCTCCTTTCTTTTCATTCTCTTGTGTCAGCTATTTTCTGTCAAAGGCATTATAGTAATAGAGAAAAGCACCAGTTAAAGGCCAGTCGACACACATGTCTACACAAAGCAGAAAGTATGAGCTGGCTCTGTAGAAAAGGGCTGTGCTAGGAGCAATGTGTGTTCTGTTTCTGGTGTGTGTTCTTTGGTGTGTGTTCTCTGTGGGGTCATTTGCTTAGAGGATGACTGTCTTCTCCCATTGGGAGCCTGGTCATTTACTAAGTAGACATCTGTGGTGGTACTCTGGATGCCCTGGCCTTCAGAAATCATACTGTGCTTTCTCAGTGGCACCTAGAATAGTTAACCTACAGGTGACTGACTGTATTCACTTGGTGCCCATTCTTTGTTCAGTTTACTGCTAAGCTAAGTTGCTGAGGGTCCTTCTGGTGTTGTTTGTATGTTAGCTTTCTGATGGATTATTTTAATGTGTCTAGTGTGCCTTTTTTAAAAAAATCTGAATATTTTCTATATTATCTGCCATATGGACTGGGCTATGAAAAGGTAGGATATAACTATATCATAAATAAAGTTTGCACATGCCTTGACACTGCAGTCATCACATGAAGAACTTCCACATATAAATTTAGCCCCAACTACCCCATGCTTTTCTAATTGTGCTTCTGCTGAGTGTGATTCTATTCCAGAATGGTTTTCCCATCTTCTTCTGGCATTATTTGTTAACTGTTTTTTTTAGATAAATTAGGATATGCAGCTTGCAGTACTGTCAAGTTTCCAGTCAAACTAAAACATGACTTTACTCTTGAGAAAGAGATTTCTGGACGCATAAATATTATGGTACTGTATAATGTCTGCATCGTACACTTCTGGTAGAGACTATGGCTAGATGCACAGCATATTATCTAGTAGACGTCAGCAAAGAGGATTAAAATTCTTTCTTTAATATACTCTGGAGCCTCTATGGTAAGCGGGGGGGGGGCAGGGGATGTTGTTTTTCAGGTCAGTGGGAAGATACATTTTTTAGGATCTCATAACTGTTGCAAAGTCATCTAGCCCTAGTACCTTGTACCTAAGCAGAAGATTTCATATACAGACATTTCTGTAAAGGATTGTAAAGCACTTTTTATATTTGGGGAAATGCTAAATGAATTACAGGAGAGAGAAAACGTTGGTTCTAAGGGCCAGAGCATATGTTAGCTACAGGAATCCAAGGTTAGTATAGGCAAAGGACAGGGCAATGCTTCCTTTGTTGTGTATCCTCTTTAAGAGGGTAGCTTATGAACCAACTGTAGGAGTTCTGTGTGTATGTTTTACCCTTAATGCTATGCTGGTGTAACCTCATAGCATGAACTAGTATTTTCTGTGCCATGAGCCACCTTCCAGAAGGTTTTTTTTCCCACTTGGGAAACTGTCTTGGTGTGAAATGAGATGTTTGCCTCCTTCAAGTCTACCTGAAGAGTTATAATCTGAAGTTTGTAGATTATTCATGGGAGACTTCAGCATGTAGTAAGTCCATAAAATGATTTAATAGTACATCTGAAAGCTTTCACATTTAACTTTCTTTATGTGCCTACATACATGTCATTGACAAACCTCTCAGGTGTTCAGTCAATGAGAGCTAACTACAAATGAATGCAAAATATCTCTCATTAAATGTACCTACACCAATCACAGTGGTTTAGCTATAACTTAATACCTGCATGGTCCCATTGCTATTACCTGACTAGAATTGACCTTGGTCAACCACACTCAAAAGGGAATAACTAAAAGATGAATTCTAAAGATACTGTATAGATCACTTCCCTAGTGTATCAAATCAAGGTCCAGATCAACTTGTTAATGTTTAAAACAGTCATGTCAAACATATGGCCCAGGGGCCGGAACCAGCCCACCTAGAGCTCTTACATGGCCCACGAGCAACTGGGGGGGAAACCAGTCTGAATGTGTACCAGAAGGGCCTACATTAGGGTATTATACCCCATGTTGAGGTCTCTCCCTTCCCCAAAGGGGGCCTCCTCAAGGTCTTCCCCCAGCTTTCCAGGGATTGCTCACCCTGGAGTTGGCAATCATAAGGGGCAAGGAGGGCTGGTTTGACCCTGAGCTCTGCGCAGCCAGTCCCCTTGGGACCTGCCTGCCACCCTTGGCCGAGGCACTGAGCCGGGATGCCCTGCCTGCCTACACCACCTCCTCCGGCCAGAGGGCGTTGGGCTCCTGCCTGGGCTGCTGGAAAGATGGCTGGCTGTTCATGTGTGGCAGGCAGGATCTCTTTGGCCACACCTCCCCGAGTCCAGCCAAGTGGCTTCTCACTTGCAGGCGGCCATGGGCACGGGGACATGTGGAAAACCGCTGGCCAGTTCACCAAATGTGCCCACTTATGTAAGTGCATTAGTGGAGTGACTGGCTGGGCTGTGCGCAGCAGCCCAGGAAGAGAGAAAAGCTCAGTGCTTCTGCGTGGCTCCTCTCCTGCCTGCCTCCCTCCCTTGGTAGCACAGGGAGGATTAAATAAGAAGCAAAGCCAAAATATATGCACACTCCCTGGGCTCCCTGCATGTAAACACTGCTTTATGTAATGGTCTGAATGGAAGGGGGGGGTAAGGTGAAGGTCAGGGATGGGATGGGGGCAGGCATGCAGAAAAGTGCACTGGATTTGCACATGGCAGAGGCAGGCACTGGATATGTGCTTGCACTTGGGGAGTAATATTTTGGGTTGTTGGATAATGCTGTGGAGCTGGCAGGAAATAAAAGTTTGCAAGAGGCAATTAAAGTGGTGCTGGCATCTTTGAAGAGTGGCAGTACTTGAAGATTGCTAGTGGTGCTAGGGAGCATCACAGTTCCCCTTGTGGTTCACACCTGTTGCTGATTTGGGACGCTGACAGAGGGAAGTGAGGGATTCTGTGGCTGCCTCACCCCCCCCCCAAACCCCTCCCCAAAGACTGTTGACCATAGCAGTTTCTTTAAGGCAGGGCTTGTTGGGTTCCCTGGTTGATGCCACTTGGCCACCTGTCTGTGGCTGCTGCACCTGTGGCAATGGAACTTAGGCAGATCATGAGAGGAAGGGCAGGAAGGGTTGCCTCAGTGCTTAGTCCTTTTGACCCTTTCTTACACGCCCAGGAAAATGTGGATTGCCACTTTGGGGTCAGGAAGCAATTTTTATCCAGGCCAGTTTGTCCAGGCATCCTGGAGGGGTTTTTTTTGTCATCTTCTGGGTGTGGAACAGCGGTCACTGTGAGTGTGGAGGGGGAGGTATTTGTGAATTTCCTGCATTGTGTAGGGGGTTGGACTAGATGACCCTGGAGGTCCCTTCCAACTTTATGATTCTATGGTTCTGTGAATGCAGCCCTCCATGCTCCAGCTTATCAAAAGCTTCTGAAACGTCTTAGTCCTTAAAGAGCCACAAGAGTCTCTGGTTGTTGCACCTTGATTGTTAGGCAAGAGCTCTCTGTGCTGTGCAAAACCTCCTGTGCTTATCGAGTTAGTTAATTGGTTAGTTAGGTGCTGAGGAGGGGTGTGGGTCATGGTCAGGGGTAAAATATCTCCAGTACCTGGCATTTACAACCTGACAGTGACATTTATGTCAGATCCAGCCCTCATAACAAATGAGTTCAACACCTCTGGTTTAAAGAAGTACTACTGAAAGAAAGGCTATTCCTGTTGCAATAGCAGAAGATGAAGGAAATTCTGTTTCTGTGACTAGACATAATATATTCTCCTAACTGTAGCTAGGAGTGTTGGGGGGGGGGGAGTTACACACTTTCCTCACTCCTGAATGTGAAAATCCAGGTCCTTTGGTTTTAGGAGCTGACTAAAGTACATCTGCATGGATGCTAACAATTTTTAGCTTTAAAATTGGTGGTTGCTGCTTTTAAAACTGAAGCAGATTGCAGACACTGTACAAATACAACACTGCAACACTGCAATATATCTGTGGGGGGATTCACACATGCGAAGAAGGTGCATGCAAGTTTTTGACGTGCTCCAGTTCCTAGTCCTGGTAAAGAGATCTAGAACAATACAAGTGCACTGTAGCACTATATGAATTTAAAGTATTCAGTCATTTTCTAATTAACTCTTTCAAAATAAGTTTGAAAGCAGACATTGGAGCTATGCCCAGGATTCATTCTGCATCTGGGGAAAAAAAGTAACATACAAAGTAGTCATAGCGCAAAGACCTAAAAGTTTGCAGGTACAGTTCAGCACTTGTGATGATTTGTGCATTGTTTTATGTTCTTGATGGAAGCAATTTGTAATGTATTGAACTGAATTCAACTTTGTATACATTTATTGATACGGAGATTCTGCAATGTCCCTTAGTATTACGCAGATTTTCCAGAAGGAGAGAAAGAGAAGAAGTTAGCTGCCTGTTCAAGGCATCGATCTCGCTACATTCCTCCTGACACACCAGAGAACTTCTGGGAGGTTGGATTTCCTTCCACCCAAATGTGTGTTGAAAGAGGTAGGGGCATGTTTGTATATGTTTTTGTAGAGTATAAAAGTGAAATGGGGAACTAACAGATCCAGAGCTCTGTTTTGTCTGCTGTTTATTCACAAGCGGCTTGCACCTTATTATCAACATCATCATCATCATTATTATTATATTGCCCTATCCCAGCTCATGCCGGGCTCTAGACCTAATGTCATTAAAAATACAAAACATTAAAATTCAATATATAACTTAATAAAAATTTCAATGTAGATAAAAGATCCAAGATGGCGATTTTCTTTTTATTTTGGAATACTGGATCAGAAGCTTATTTTTAAGTACAGAGTTTTTTAAAAAATCATTTAGGTTTATAATCAAAGAGTTTGCACAGGTTGCAAATAGTTTCATAAATTTAACCTAAATTGCTTGTTGGTTCAACCATAACACCAGATCATGTGCTAGTGCTACATGAACAACTCCTGTGCCACCCATTCTTATGTGCATGAAATCAATTAGTAACATTCAGATTAACATCAGTCAGAGTTTCCTGTTCCATCCCAAACAGCAACCTACGTTTGGATGACTTTCTTTCCTTGATTTTGAATTGATGCAGGTTTGAAATCCTGGTGTGAATGAAAAACACAACTACCATTTTGAATGCAACAGAAATCAGAGTTAAAAGTTGTTCACAACACAATCCTAAACAGCATTAGCCATTCTAAGCCCACTGGAGTCAGTGGTCTTCAAAGGGTATGACAGTACTTAGGAATGCATTTGTGGTGCACAAAGGAAGCATGGAGCATGCAGCCTTATATGGCTTGTTCACGTAGTGGCTTAGTACTAGGTCTGTGTTTAATTTCTGTGTGGATCAGCCTTTAACTCATTATCAAAATTGTCCTAATAGTTGTCTACAGCTTATTCGATTTCCATTGGGGGGGGAGGCTGTAATAAAGCAATGCAGTTAACACTCTACTTGTTGCATAAAAGACTCCTTATGGTGTCTAAGCATCAAACTATGTTGGTGTGTTTTATTTTTAAATAAGTTCTAGGATGTGCTAAAAAATTCTATTGTATACAAGCCATGTGATAAAAAATGTCCTCTTCTTTTATTTTTTAAAGGTTACATAAAAGAGGACTTTGCTCCATGCCCTCGTCCTAAAAGAAGACAGCCTTATAATGTGACCTTTTCTCCAAAAGGCAAAGAACAAAAGACATAACTGAAGTGTAAAACTGAAAAATGTAGATACAGGTCTTTTGTGACAGTTGGTATTTATAACCAGTGGCAAACATGGATAAAAGTATTGTCTGTGGACTATTTCTCCCATCTTGAAAGACAAATAATTTTGGGACATGGGGAAATCACTTCCCTTTGAACTATCATTTGACTATCTGTGACTACAAATAAAATATTTAATGTATATAGATATTTTGGTTTTATGTGTATATTTCATTGTGCCTCATCCTGATTTTGCACCTTTCAGTTAGGAGAGCCAGTAGCTGTTTCATAGGTACCTGCAGTTCAGCTTCCATGCTGACTGTACTCAGACTTGGTGTAAGTTGGTGTTACTACTTTTGGGTCAAGCAGTTCAGTTCTAGAAGATTCCTGTGAGGTACAGGCAGAATCTTAAGAGGGTGCTTCCATTTTGCACTGGATAACTTAAATAATTTTTAACCACTTCTGTTTTGTAATAATTGGGGGGGGGGATAAGGGAATAATAAAAATTGATTTTCTTAATGACTCTTTACAATGTTTCTTTCTGTAAAGCCTTTCTGGCCTCACATTTCTTAGCATTCATAATCAGTCTGCATTATTTTGGTAGCGTGATTCCTAAGATTTCATTTAGACGTTATCTTAATCCTGTACCAACACTACTTTACTCTCCTAACAAATTAGTTAATATAGCCTGCTGCTAGTTTTACCCACCTCTCTTTTGACTACCTTGTTAATAGTTTTCTAATCCCACTCTCAAATGTATAGATTTTTTGTTTAAAATTCCTTTGATGGGTAGTAACAATTACGTCTGATATAAAGCAAGTCTCAGACAAATACACTTAAAAGTGTGAATAATTTAGCTTAAACAGAAGAAGCTATAAGGAACTTGAACTGAATCGGTAGAATAAATCTTAAAGAAATTTTGTGCTGTTCAAAGTATTAAATGCAGTCTTTGTATTCCTGACAAAGGTACCCATATAAACTATCAGCCTACTAATATAATTCTTTAATCACCATCTCTGTGCCAAAACTATTCTCCCCAGTCACTGGCATGGATTTTCCAACCCATTTTCCCAGGTGAGGTATGCTATAAAATCCTAATTTCTGCTGATCATTACGCACCGTTTTTTGTGTGTTAAAGACACAAAGTGTACCTTAAAATTTATTTATTTATTTATTTATTAGTTAAATTTCTATCCTGCCCTTCCTGCAAGCAGGCTCATGGCAGGTAGCATCAAAATACATAAGCATTAAAAATCAGTTAATACAATACATTCCTAAAAACAGTTAAAACAAACAATTAAACGATGGGGAAATATACCCCCAGTATCGCCCTGCCATGGATCGCCAGGTGACCTTGGCTGGAGGTGGCTGCTGCTTTATGGGCATCTCCAGCTTATTGGGCTTTTCTTGGTCTGGGTCCTGCCGTGCACATGGCTTTGTGCCTGGGCTATCACCCCCCAGCTTCCACAGCCGGGGAGGGATGTTAGTTCATCTCATCTTCCCAGTCCCCTTCCATGGTAGCTCGGTGGCAGGGAGGAGCTCGCAACACCCAGCTGCTTTCTGCTTTTACCTTGGGACCCAGGCCCACAGCATTGGTGGCAGAAGAGGGCTGGGGAAGGGGTTCCCCCTTTCCAAGCAGCACAGGGGCATCTGCCCAGCACTGTGCCACTGGCTCTCCAGTCCTCCTATGCGGGTTTTCCTCTGTACACATACACCCAGCCCATGGGTCCTTGCAGCAAGGACACACCAACTCGGAGCTTAGCAGCTGCTGTCCTTTATAAAGTTTGTATCTCCGGTACCTGGCATTACATTTTATGGCACACATGGTCCAGCCTGACAAAGTAACATTTATGTCAGATCAGGCCCTTGTAACAAATGAGTAGAAGCTGAGGGAAATCAACAAAAAATTAGGGAAGATTATTAAGAATAGTTCATTATGGACAAATCCTTGGCGGGGGGAGGTGTGTCCTTCCTATGAAAAGTATAGTGTCCAGCTGATCAGTGAAAATAGAACATACATAATGGCATGATTTTTCATGACTATGGTGTCTGATTCCCAGGGGTATATGGAGTTTGCTGGAGTCAGCTGCCTGTTCCAGCATGTCCCAAATATACAAATTCCACTAGTAGAAAACACCATCAAAGATTGCCAAACAATATATTAATTATAAAGTTGGTGGTGTCACAACAACATTAGTGCGTACTGTAACTATAATAAGGCATAAGATACAATATTTGGACTCCTTTTTGCAGCCTTTCGTTATTAAGATGGATTCATATCTGAAGAACACAATGTATTTTATCAAGGAAATTGAGGGACTGACGGTAGAAGAGGACATGATGCTAGTGACTCTGGACATAAAAGCTTTTTATACTAATATTCTGCATCAAGAATTGAGGCAAATTATTTTTGACATCTTAGACTGCAGGGATAGGCTATCTTCACCTACTGAATTTCTGATTGAACTTCTTGATATTATTTTGGAATATAATTTTCGTTTTGATGATAATTTCTTTTTTCAGAAATGCGGGATTGCCATGGGCAGCTTGGTAGCGCCTAGCCTCACTAATCAATATATGGAACATTTTGAGACCAGGATTATTATGTCTAACCAAAATCCCTTTGTTTCCAACATAAAATTTTTTTAAACGTTTCATTGACATTTTTCTTTTATTTTCGAGACAGGAACAAATTTGGCAATTTCTTCAATGGCTCAACCAGGCATATGAGACCATTAAATTTGAATTAGTTTGTGATTCTAAGCAGATAAATTTTTGGACACCACAGTCTATATTAGTAAGGATAAAACTTTGGCTGTTAAACCTTTTCATAAACCAACAGACAAAAATTCTTATTTATTGTTTTCTTCTTTTCATCCTTTCCATCTTAGATATAATTTACCATTTGGCCAGTTTTTAAGTTTAAAGCGAAATTCAACCTATGAGATCGATTACAAAAAGGAGGCTGACCATTTGAGTAAACAACTGGAAGACAGGGGTTACCCAAAAGAGGTAATAAGGAAAGCAAGAGAAAGAGCTGACAATAGCAAGAGGAAAAATCTGTTGAAATACCGAAGCAGGGTAAATCAGAATAAAATATCATGTGCTTTTCAATATTCTTCCTTAGCAAATGGAATTAGACATAGTATCTATAAACACTGGAATATAGTTGAACATCTACCTGGTTGTGGATCTCCTCCGTATACGGAGACGTAATAAAAGTATTAAAAATCATTTGGTGAGAGCAGATATAATGCAACCAGAAGGGAATAGCCATATACTAAAAGGTTTTTTTTTCAGTGCAAATGATGTTCAACTGGTAAATTTATGTTGGAAGGAGAGCAACATGTATAGTTTATGGAATCTTTGGGTCTTAGTACCAATTTCTTTGCAACCTGCAGAACACAAAATACTGTGTATATTTCCCTATGTGAATGTAAAAATATTTGGGGTTTACAATACTGCTATTAAAACCCAGGTCCTTGAGCATAAATCTAGACTAATTAGACATGTAGAAAATATCCCAATGGGAGAATATTGTGCTAGTACTGGGCATAACGTGAAAACATGAAGTTTGGAGTGATTTTTGTACACCAAAATAAGCCTTTCCAAAGACAGGATGTGCCGCGTCTTCTGTTACACAGGGAGGCACGCCTTATCTTTGATTTGAAAACATATGAACCTTTTGCCTTGAACAGGGAAATTGATTTTTCAGCCTTTTTGTAAACAAAAAGAATATAATCAAATATTTATTTTAGAAAAATGGAGCCCTTTAAATGGGACTAATCTAAATTGGATACACCTGTTTCTTTCCCTGTTGAGCTTTAAATTGGCATGCATCTTTGCCTGTATCTTTGAGAACCTATGATTCGCTTCTTACACTATAAACCTTGTGGTCTGTTGAAATTGCTGAAATCAGGGTGAGTGTATTTTTCAGGCAGGTTTTAAAAAAACACAATTTTTTTTTTAATGTGTTTTCGAGGTTAGGCAATTGTGTAAATCTCTTTACAGTTCCACTTACATAGCTGGCAAACTGAAGAAGTCAAAGGAAACGCATCTTCTAAGTATCTAAAACGGGTGTCTTTGCAAAGGCTGTTTGGACAATATTATGACTATGTGAACTCCTATCAAGTTACACTGATTACATGGACTTTATGTGTCTTATCTACAAAGAAGAAAATATTGTATCTTACGCCTTATTATAGTTACAGTGTGCACTAATGTTGTTGTGACACCACCAACTTTATAATGGTTTATTATATTGTTTGGCAATCTTTGATGGTGTTTTCTACTAGTGGAATGTGTATATTTGGGACTTCTGTGACGCTAGTCTTTTTCCCTTGGGTTTTTTTTAAAAAAATTATTTATTGTTCCAGCATGTGGCTTTGAAGAGTTCATGCCAATGCAGTCAAAGACAACCCTGAAACTGGGAACGGGTTTGTGATGGAAAGGCAGCCAAGCCAATAGATTTGTTCACCAGCTGTATAAAATGTTAGCATTTACATCTTGCAGAACCTGGTTCTTACTAATTCTGGCATTCTGATGGTATAATGTTGACAGCAAGAGTTTTCGAAAGTAGAAGCTGAACAACGATTAACGCCACACTTAGAAAAGGTAAAGGGAGGTACTTATGTTGATACCTCATACTCTGGAAACCAGTAAATAAAAGAAATGGCAGGAACAACAACATTATTGGACAACAACATGTTGTAAAGTAAAAAATGATAGCCAATACGGCAGGATTTCTCATACATCCCAGCCCAACACTACAGAAACCCCACCACTAGTAAACTAGAGGAAGAGGCCATGGCTTTCCTTCAACTCCCCTGTAGCATTTCAGCCAAGGGAAACTGCTTATGTTTGCAGCCTGGTTGTGGTATGCCTTTTAATGGACTAAACTGTTAAATTCTATTCCTTCGCATCATGGAAAATTGCACCTTGTCATATCACCCATGGTGCTTGTGGTGCCTAGTTTGAAGAGCTGAGAATTAAAGGTTTGCTCCTCTGTGTTTTCCTCACCCAAAATAATGGTTTTCACTAGATGCTGTACAACTTTTACGAAGATTTGAAGTACTAATGTATGTTGCTGAAAAATTATTCTGCTCATTAAAGGTAACAGAGGACTACAGTGACTAAAGCAAGGGTAGCTGGAAATTATGGTAAAAATGAACATAATTGTCTAATGCATTGTTCTCTCCTTATGAAGGT